AAAAAAAAAAATGTTTTCCACGGCACTGAGGAACACTAGAGGAAACTCCTTTCCTCCAGATTTTCTCTTGGCAGTCCTGGGATTTGAACTCAAAACTCAGACTCTCCACATGAGCCATGCCTCCATCCCTTCCAAATTCACAACAACTCCCAGTAGACATGAGCCCTCTGCCACTCATCCCTTAGTCTGAAGAGGGACAGGCATTTCCTTGGCTCTCTAGTGCCTGGAAGTTTCCAGATGACCACATGATTCCCAAACAGCTTTGGTTTATTTTGAAACAAGGCTCCCTTCCAATGACCTTTTGTCATAATACTCCATGAAGGATGGCTTACAAAGTCTGGAGAGTGGTTTTTTTCCTTTGCCATAGTGTTATTGGTAATCTCTCTCTCTCTCTCTCTCTCTCTCTCTCTCTCTCTTTCTCTCTCTCTCTCTCCCTCCTTTCTTTCTTTTTCCTTTTTCCTGTCTTCCTTTCTTTTTTCTTCCTACCTCCTTTTCTTTTTTCTTTCTTTCTTCATTTCCTTCTTCCTTTCCTTTTTTCCTTCCTTCCTTCCTTCTTTCCTAAAAGAGCTTAAACCAGTGTGTTTAAATTGGTATATAATGTCTTTTTAAAGATGTTTTCCTAGGCTTTATGATTGGAATGAAGCTAAGGTTCAAATAAAAGCAGGTGAGAATCAGTTGCCTATGAGTAGCTGCATAAGTGCTTATCTATAAAGAAAAGCATCTCTTTTCAGAACCTATTTCTTGGTAGAAAAAGCAGGTATGTCCAATGATGCATTTGAGTACAATGTTTTGTCTTTAAGGACCTGTTTGAATCAGCCAGTGCCCCAAGTCACAATTAAGTCCCCCATCTGGGAGTGTTTAATTGCCTTTGTCACTTCCTGGTATTTTGTCCCTAGAAACCTACTTCAGATAGAAGAAAAACTATTTAGCAAGGACAGAGATTACTCAGACCCGTGCATTTGAGGACACAGAGATCACCAGGTGACTCAAAGAGTGTGATGATTCCCTTCCAGTCAGGAAGCAGGTGATGCCCTTAATGAGTTTGTTTCTCTGATCTATTAGAAATAATTTTAGGAATACCTACTTGTAGAAGTCACTTGATCTTTGTTGCAAGGATACTAATTGTCACAAAAATAAGGAAATACCCCTCTGTACATCACCTTTATAATAACAATTAAAAATAAATACATATAAAAATAAGGAAACCAATCAAGTCATAATATAAGCAACCACACTACGAAGACTCATCAGTGTAAATATATCGATGCCCCAGCTTAATGCCCCTGCTCTAATAACATCTCCTACCCCCTGTTCCTGGCCATCAACTATTTCTAGGTCATTCTTTGGGCTTGGAGATATAAATACTGGTCACATGGTGCTTTTTCTAGGTGTTAGAACCTGGAGAAGAGGCTCTAAAAGTGGTGTTGTTATAAGTAGGAGCATTCCCATAGGCCTGTGGAGGAGCTGTGTCTAGAAGAGGTCCGGGATGATCCTCTTGAACCTGCTGAGATTCTTCTTATATCAATCTAAGGCTGAGCAAGAGAGATGTCTACCCCCCCTCACAAAGAACATCTCAAAATGTGGCAGGTGCATTACTGTGAGAGTTAATTTTATGTGTCAACTGAGCTGGGTGACAGGATGCCAAGGTAGCTGGGTAAACAACATTTCTCAGTGTGTCTGTGAGGGTGTTTGTGGAAGAGATTAGCATTTGAATGGATGGACTGAATAAACCAGACATCCCCCTCTCTGAATGGTTGGGCATTATGCGATCAGCTGAGGGTTCTGGGCACTCCTGTTCTCAGGGCTTCAGGCCCAGAATTGTAATATATTACTGTCTTTCTGGCTCTCAAGCTTTTAATAACACCACTGGCTTCCCTAGGTCTCCTCTATCTCCAGACAGATCATGAGATTCTCATTGCATGATCAATACCTTATAATCAATCTATTGAAATATAAATACAGAAATCAATGGTCTATCTATTGATTGATCTATCATCCATCTATCTAATCACTTTAGTCAGTTTCTCAGGAGAGCTCTAATACAATAATCAGGTGATAGTTGAAAGACTCCATGTCTATTTTGTCAGGGAAGTTTTAGAGTCATCTGTCTTTGAGTGGAGCGTACTGGCTGGAGAACAAGTATCTCTGCCATTGCTAGTATAGACTGAAGACCAGAGGTCCTTCTTTTCTGGACACCAGGAATGTTTCTAGTGTGCCTTATGACTGGAGACAAAGGTAAGATATTCACAGAGGACACAGAATTGCTTAAGCTTCCTAGCTGGTGAGAAATTGTCATAGTTGATTTGATTTAGAAAAACAAAATAATATGGCATGTCTTGTACTCCATACACTGATTCTAACAAACATATCATGTTATCTGACAGGTGAGTTTTAGAATGCTCTTTATACCTACTGTGTTTACACATTGCCCTTCATGTATAACTACGTGTATAGATTTCCTTGAAGGAATTCAAAGTTTTCATATAGACATATATAGTCCCAAATTGGTTTATTCACCTTTGAGTTTTAAGCCAATACTATCATAGCACACGTATTAGCTTCTGACGATTAAAACGATTTTTTTTGCAATTGCAAAATAAACTTTTCTTATTAGAACTTTGCAGTGTGCAAGTCCCTTTAGTAGAAGAAATCATATCTACAGACTAAGTCATAAAGGGAGAACCAAAACTCTTATTGGATGCTTTTACTGTTACTTCAGGCTGTGTTTATAAATGGCCTAACAGATTTGACTATGACTTGACAGTATTTCAGTCAGCAGCTTGCTTGGGTGATAGGCCAGGCTACAGAGATGTGCTGATGGGCTTAACAACATCATTAATTTGGTTTGTGGACCAATATGGTCTTTTGTGGATATATTGTCTAAGATACAATGTGTAAATAGATTTCTTGATTAAAGTGGATGTTTACATAGGAATTACACACATAATTACAATAAGCCCTCAAGATCCCTGGGTTTCACATTCAAAAGTGGCATACATGCACAATGGAATTTTACTAATCCATTAGAAAGAATAAGATTGTCATTAAGGGAAATGGATGGACCAAGGACAAATCATGCTAAGTGAGGTAAACGAAGCTCAGAGAGGCAAATGGCATGTGTTTCTCTCATATGTGGGAGCTAGATCTAAAATATAACTAGACAAAATAACCTAGATAGGACTCTAGGCATCGTCACACAAACAAGTAGATTAAAGGAGGAAGCCATAGGTGCAACTTCTCTGAACATCTAAAATACTATTTATCAATGCAGGGAGATGGTGGCTCACACCTGTAATCCTAGCCACTCAGCAGGCTGACATCTGAGGATCGTGGTTCTATGTTTGAGTAGGAAAGTCTATGAGATTCTCATCTCCAATCAACCACCACTGTGGACACACTGGGAGAGCCCTAACCTTGAGCAAAAATGTTCAGGGACAGTGCCTAGGCCCTGAGTTCAAGCCCCAGGACCAGCACAAAAGAAAAAAAAAAGAAACTCTACATAATGGTAAAAATGTTTCTCAGTTGCTAGGTTAAATAAAGTTTCTCCCTCTCAAATCTAAGAAACCAATCACTAAATGGGCAAAGGAGCTAAAGACAGACTTTTTAGAAGAAGAGATAAAAATAGCAAAGAAACACATGAGGAAAAGTTCATCATCCCTGGTCGTAAAGGAACTGCAAATAAAAACAACCCTGAGATACCACTTTACCCCAGTCAGAATGGCCTATATTTTGAATGCAGACAACAAATGCTGGCAGGGATGTGGAGAAAGAGGAACCCTATTGCACTGCTGGTAGGAATGCACACTAATACAACCACTCTGGAAAGCAGTCTGGAGGATCCTCAAAAAACTAAACAGAGATATATCCTACAATCCAGCCATACCACTCCTAGGCATCTACCCTGAGCAACAGGAACCAGGATACAAGGACACATGCTGTTCCATGTTCATTGCTGCACTGTTCACAATAGCCAAGATTTGAAAACAACCCAGATGTCCCACTACGGATGAATGGACCCCATAAACTGTGGTACCTATATACAATGGAATGTTACGCAGCCATTAGAAAGAACAAATTGGCATTTGCATGGAAATTGATGGAATAGTAAAATAGTAAAATACAAATTAAGATCAGAGAGACAAATGGCACATGGTCTCCCTGATATGCAGATGTTAAATTCAAAATGAAATGAGATATGACAAAGTAAACAGGACTCAAGAAACAAAGGACCTCTTCTTAATTTGTCCTATGGTTTTTAGATGACTCTATGTTGTTGACCTCACATATGGTATATACATGTACATCTGAGGGAGCTAGGAGGAGGGTACAGAATCAGGAAAATGGGTGCAAAAATACATCAGCTGCACTGGACATTGATGAAAATGAACTAAACAACTCAAGGGCAGCAATGGGAGGGAGGGAATAAGAGGGAAACAGGGAACAGCTAACACTAAGAAAAAAGGAAAGAAATGTACATATCAACTGATTTGGAAGACATAGTTGTATTGTCAAAGTTTGTAGAGTTCACAAGCTTTTATAGATCATGATAATGACAATTCACCTTGTGAAGGTTAAAATGTGTTTGTGACTTTAGCTAAGTATCACTATCCCACAATATTGTGAAATTTGTTAATCACTTAATCTCAATAAAGAAATTTTAAAAAATTTCCATCAAAGTGAATGGATACCATCAGCAAACCTAAATCCATAACTCTGTAGGCTACAACAGCCCTCCATTAGCTATTCTGGCAGGAGATCTGGTGGATTTGGCCAGAATACCCGACCAGAGACAGGATCAGGGGACATACCTGAGTTTGGTTTTATCCTGAATCCCAGACTTTTGCTTCAGTTTTGTCTGAAAAACAGAACTCTGAACACATAAGTGAAGGCTGTGTCATTCCATTATGAACGCTTCAGATTTATTTACTGACTATATTTTCCATTTTGCTGAGAAAATTTTTTTAAAAAGTAAACTTTTACTGAACTCAAATGGGGAAATATGGCATAGTTTCCTGGGTTAAGCAGACCTATGTCAAATAGCTGATTTAGAAAAATAGCTAAGAGAAAGATGGGAGGTGGGCACTGGTGGCTCACACCTGTAATCCTCGCTTCTCAGGAGGCTGAAATCTGAGGATCAAGGTTCAGAGTCAGACTGGGCAGGAAAGTCTGTGATACTCATCTCCAATAAACTATTCAAAAAAAGCCAGAAGTGGCGCTGTGGCTCAAGTGGTAGAGTGCTCGCCTTGAGCTGAAGAGCTGAGGGACAGCGCCCAGGCCCAGAGTTCAGGCCCCATGACCGGACCCCCCCCCCCTAAAAAAAAGAATCTCATGAACTTTCCCTCCTAGTAAGCTTTGACCCAAGATCCTCAGAGCTCAACTTCCTGAGTAGTTAGGATTACAAGTGTGAGGCACAGACACTCAGTTTTGTACTAGATTTCTCCTCTGGAAAAGAGGGGAAAAAAAGAATCTACGACGATTTTAAACTAAAACAACTGCCTTTCTGTATTCTCTAGTTTGCACTTTTTTGTGTGTCAAATTCAGTGATTAAACACAGACCCAAAATAACCCAAGCACTGACTACAAATGAGATTGGTTTGCAATTTTTTTATTTAGGCAATCTGTGCAAACATTATTATTATATTTCTCTTTAACATTAGGAAGAAAGAAAATGACCACACAGGGTGTGGTTGGAAACCAGAAACCAAGTTTTCTTGTTTTCAACCAGATTTCAAAGCAGCAGAGGTTTGAGAGTCAGTGCCTTGCTGTCAGTATTCCTCGGGGTTGCTGGATTGTAAGTCTCGCAGATATGAATTAATTATGTTTGGAGGTACACCTTGCAAGAGGAGCCTGCAGAAGGACAGCCCACCTGAAAGGGACAGAAAGGAAAGGAGGGGGAAAAATCAAAACCCTCTATATGGAAAATGGATGCAATAATTGTATGGGACTATCTGCCTGGAGTGACTCACTCTATTCCTACATTCATTTAGTCCTTCCGTGGAAATCTCTTCCTGGTTTTAGTTCACTTAGGTTTCAAAGCACTTGACATCTGAAGGTAAAGCAAGTTCCCAGAAGATCCATAGCAATTTATTTCCCTTACCATTGTTTAATCTTACTTTAAACTCCGAAATGGCAGAGATACTTATTGCTCCTTGAGAAGGTTGTGTGACTGTGTCTTCTATGGATGATTACGAGTTTCTGACCAAATGGCACACAATAAATGCACATTCTGTAATGGGTCAGTGGGAAGATCGATTTCTAGCTTACTCTAATGTTCTAATTAAGCACAACAGGTTTTGATTCAAGCATATTGGAGAAGTTAAAATAGGCATTCCCTTTAACTTTGGCCATTTATGAACAGTCAAAAGCACAAAAATGGAAATCTTTTGTTAAAAATAGAAAGACTGAAGCTGGGTATGGTGGTGCATGCTTGTAATCCCAGCATTCCAGGAGTCTGAGACAGGAGAATCAATGGCTTGAAGCTAGCCTGGGCTACATAGGGAGACCCTATCTTAAAATAAACAATAAATCAATAAATAAAATATTAAGACTGGTCTATCCCTTCTGAAGCTATCAGAAATACCTAACGATGTTGCATACCTACCTTAAGAGTTTCTGAATTATATTTAAAAAGAAAAATGTCACCCAGGAGAGAGCCCATTAACCACAAAACTACATAGTCCTTTTTAATGAAGCATTTCACTACTTGCTAATAAATTCATGACCAGACCAAAAACAGCATGCTCTTCCAACATTTCTAAAACTTCTTTAATAATGCAAATTTGAGAAAGTCATTCTCCTTTAAAAAAAATTCAAGTCACATAATGGTAGAAATAATGCCACTTAAGAACATGTCCATTCCTTGATGCAAAGAATCCAGAATGCACTACCTTAAATGCTTTTCTTCATGCTCTACTGCATGCAACAACATGCTTCCTGTCAGCAGGAGGTTGTGGTGAATAAACACAGCTGTGAATCTCAAGACACGGGAGTACAAATGAGAGCTACAAAAGTTAGTGATTTGGGGGGGGGGAGTCTATTTTCATTGTATCACAGAATGAAAATCATGCCATACTCCACAGGCTTGGTATGGCTTATGACAGTCATAAGCTTCATATGCCAAACCATATGAAAGCTTACCTTAGATGGCAATATACATTCAAAAATCCTTACTGTGCTACAACTAAGGAAAAGAGAGGAGGGAGAGAGAGAGAGAAAGAAGTTGTAAGCATTAATAAAATGCTACACCAAAGTTCAGTACTTGTTGGAGATGAAATTATTGTCACGATGATAATGAATAGATTTCATTAATCCTTAGTCATGTGAAAGATATATGAAAATAAAAGCACATTAAAGGAAAGGTGAGGATCCAGTCACTTCAAAGGAGTCATTAATATGAAAAAATTTATTAATATGTACAACCACTGTGCCAGAATAAGTGACAAAGCGAATCTGATGGTATAGTGAATAAATATTTATAAAAAGCTTCCAAACCATTAGCTTTAAAAAGAACACCCTACAACATATATATATCGTGTTTTTCAACAAAAGAAAAACAAAGACAATATACCAAATGTTAGTGTTCATATATATATGTTGGAATTCCAAAAGGCAAAATTTTCAAGTGTACTTATTGAGACTAGTATATTCTGAACTGATTATATACCACTGGTGTAAGTGAGTGCAAGTTGTGGAAGTCTTAAACTCAGGCTACAAAGTGACTATTTTGTGTAACCTACAAAACTTTAGAAGAAGAATTCTTATTTCTTTCCCCTTCAAAGCTGACATTACTTCTAGAAATCCAGGAAGCCCAATACTGTCACTCAGATATAGATCTACATTAGAGTTTGTATCACTTGCTTACCTAGCACCGAAGAACTCTTATTACTTCTTCCAAATGGGATGAATTACACATGTATGATACAACTGGTTTATTAACACATGTAGAGAATCCTAAACTTTTCTTTCCTTTTATATTCATAAACAAATAAACTGGGTTTCCTAAAAATGTCCAAAATAGGTTATAGATGTTGTACTGATGAATTTGTAATTAGAAAATTGTACATATAATAGGTTTCAGATAATTTATGTTTCTTTGTATCCTCCCTCAACCAAATATGCAAGGCTACTTTTCTTTTTTCAATTTAACAAGTTTAAAATGCTTAGTTTCAGAATTTCATCATGAAGCTGCTGTAAATTATCTTATAGGAGAGACACATCTTTCTGCCTTTGAAAAATGAAAAGTTGAACTGAGTGCCCTCCTTTCCCAGTCCTATATAAAATGAGATAATCTTCCAAGGTAGCTTTCTGGCTTTCTTTATGGGGGCCATGTGGTGTAGTGTTTAATTTTCTAATAAAATGTATGACTTAATATCCTTGAACAATTTGGCCTTCATTGTTCATGGCATAAACATCGTATGCCATGAGCTGCTAAGAAATACAATTAAAAGCAAAAAGAAAGTCAAGCTTTACATGCAAAGTGCGTTTCATGTAAGAGGAATGGAACAGAAAGTAGAAATATCCAGTGGGATATGAGTTTTGTAAACCTGTTGCTGCCCCTCCAGGAAGACTGGTTGTCCAGGGGTATTTACTCCTTGATATATCACTGCAGAATTAGAATATGTGTACCAGTATTTATTTATTCTCACTTGGCATTCTTACCTTTTAACACAGTTCTTATCAGAAACCTTTTAGCAGAAACCATTGTGATATTAAATAATCTTGGCTTTACTTTTTAGGAGCAAAAACTTTTGGCAACAAAGCACAGTTGGTAATTCATCATGAACTTATATATTAGAATACAGTATTCTATTATTACTCTAGTATTTGATTCAATTACTATACACACAATTAACTCTATATAATATTACAGCTATAAACATAACATTGTTTGCGTTTATGTAAGGCCCTAAATATCAAACCACTTATAAAAGAATCATTTTATGCCAATGACAACCTTTAGTACTTTTCAAAGCATAACTATGTAGTAGTTTCACAGTTGTTGTTTAGGGGATGTTGAAACTTGTGTCAATAATACCTTGGAACTAATGAGACCAGGAAATCTGAAAACAGATGTGCAAATATTACCTTATTCATCATTTAGAGCCAATTAGAAGCTTAAGGCCACAGTGTTTAAATATGTAGGAACTAAACCAATGGTATAGTTTGAAATTTTCTAAAGATATCATATACCTTATGAGATACAAGTAACTTTTTTCTATTACTCAATTATGTACCTACTACATCATATGCCTAGGACTAATAGAAATCCTAAGACAAAAAGAAAATTTATAAAAGGATATTGCCTTGTTCAAGAACTTTCTTGTGCCATAGCTACATTAAATTTAGAATTAGAAAACTAAAAAAAATACCCTAAATATTTATTATGTTTTTTCTCAATAGATATTTACAAAGTCTTCTTTCCAGCTATGAGATGGTAATTCCTCATTGCCAAGAGGTAGGAAAAAGACCTTGATTAACATAGACTAACAGTTTAATATAGTTAGGAATGATAGAAAACACAGTAGGATCATGTCACTATTATCTCAAAGTGATGATTTTCTGTAGGAGTTCTACCATGTCTTAAAGTAGGGTTTTATCAAGAATAAATTCAGGGGCTGGGAAGTGGTTCAGTGGTAGAGTGCTTGCCTTGCATGCATGAGGCCCTGGGTTCAATTCCTTAGTACCACATAAGCAGAAAAAGCCAGAATGTGGCACTGTGGCTAAGTGGTAGAGCACTAGCCTTGAGCTGAAGAACTAAGGGGCAGTGCCCAGGCCCAGAGTTCAGGCCCCACAACTGACCTAAAATATAAAATAAAAATAAAGAATAAATTCAGAATAAGACAGAGTCAATTAATAAGAAAATTGATTAGGATAGCAATTTATGCCTGGCACTGGTGGCTCACATCTGTAATCCTAGCCACTCAGGAGGTTGAGATCTGAGGATCGTAGTTCAAAAACAACCCAGGCAGCAAAGTCCATGAAACTCTTATCTTGAATTAACTACCAGAAAACCAGGAGCTATGGCTTAAAGTGGTAGAGTGATAGCCTTGAGCAAATGAGCAGGACAGAGCCAGGCCCTTGGTTCAAGCCTCATGACTGACCAAAAAAAAAAAAAAAGGTCGGCAGTCTATGTTGAGATTTTTCCGATATAAATCCAATATGTTTTCTTGGATTAGGTTGCCACATTTCTGAAATGAAATGTTTACCTATACATAGACATTCTCTGGTTGGCAATTTTGTGATATATATATACACTATAGTCTATGGGTATGATACCACTCAATAACTTAACAAACCAACCCATAATAAATAACAAACCAACCCATAAAAATGTAAAAAAAGATTCCACAGATTAGTTAACTTAGTAAAAAAGAATGATGCAAATTCCTTAACTGCAATATTGGTTTTGTGGTAGGCTCCTGTTTTAAAGGTGGGCTATGTCAGCAAGGCCATAACCTTTGGACTTTATTTACTCTCATCATGCTCAATACTTTATCAAGATTTCAGCAAAATTAATATTGCTTTAGTTAAGGAGAATTCAAAAGACAAAAACAAAATCCTTGAACAAGTAAAGCAGAGCCAAAGAGAATGTAAAAAATTGCCTTCTCTCTCTATTCCTTCCCTCCCCCACCCATTACCATTGTCCCTGCCCCAATTGAAACATTTTGGCAACCAGTTCAGATTTCATATGAAGAACCATCAGTAAATGACTGACGAACTTTAGTTAGTGTGAGGCCTTGGATGGCATACCTTTCACCTCCAGTTTGCATTCAATCTCCACTGTCCCAAGGTCATTAACAGCTTTGCAGCAGTAAGTGCCTCCATCATAGGGGCTAGGCTTGCGAATCTCCAGAGTACAGACTCCCTGGTTGCTGAACATTCTGTACCTTGGGTCATCCACAATAGCCACTTTGTTTTTCATCCAGGTTATTTTAGGCTGAAGTTGAGATGGAAGAAAGTGAAATCAGAAACCTGCCTGTTGTGATCCATCGTCAAATCCAGGGACAGAACTTAAAAGCGTGGCTTAGAGGAAAAGCACATCTAAGAAGAATAGACTGCGACCCAGGCAACTGTTTCCCTCGGATTAAATTCTGCTTAGTGTTTGGCAAGAAAGCAGATGAGCAGTTGTGAAGCCATGTTTGTGCAGCGAGAGGCTCTAGGACAAACTTCCCAGAGTCAGGCACATTTCAGTTCGATCGACATGGGTCTGCAACATCTAGTTATACAAGATGAACAAGTTTGGAACATCTACTGTTCAGCGCAAGATGTTTGTTAAATCCTCACATCAGTGCACCTGCAGTATACACTATTTTGTCTAGTAACTTTATTTTTCAGACTTGAAAAAGCGACCTCCAAGGTCCAGCTCTTCTCAAAGACTATGTGTCACTGAGCATTTTTCAGAGAATGTGAAAAGGTGTCGTGACTGTCTGACTTTTTCTACTTCTTTTTTCTCCTGATGCAGGTATACGTGGTATACACCTGCATTTCAGGTCACCTCCTTCTGACCTCTGTATTTGTCATCATTTGAGAGGGCACTTGCTCCATGCAGGTGATCCAAGATCACTAGTGACTCAAGTAGTCAGGAAGGAAACGCCTTTCTGGACTCCTGATCTATGTTTGTAATCACTGACTCTTCACTCCCTTTGTCTACACTGTCCCTCTAAACACACACACACTCTACATTCTCTCTACAATTCTACTTTTCATATTAGTTGACCTTTCTCAGAACCTAGACATGGCATCTTTTTGGTTTTTTTTTTCACATATTCCTCTTCCTCCTTCTGTCTCTCAATCCTTTTGGTCAGTTATAGGGCTTGAAATCATGGCCTGGGCTCTGTCTCTGAACTTTTTTGCTCAACTCTAGCGCTCTCCCACTTTGAGACACAGCTCTACTTCTGGTTTTCTGGTGGTTCCGCAATCCTCAGATCTCAGCCTCTTAAGTAGCTAGGGTTACAGGCATGTGCCATCAGTGTTCGGCTTCAGTATTGTTGATTAATTCGTTAACTAGTATGCTAGTACTACAATTTAAACTCAGCACCTCACACTCTGGCACTCTACTAACTTGATCTATTCCTCCAAACTGGCTTTTTGCTAGGTAACCCAAGATGGAGTCTCAAACTGCCTAAGCTGACAGTGAACTTCCGTCTTCCAGGTCTTAGGCTCCTGAGTAGCTAGATGTGAACCACCAGTGCCCAATTCTTTTTACCTTTCAAATAGGAGCATTTCTTGAGGCTCATCCCTTAATTCTCAGAGGCTTTTCACTCACTACCCTCTTTCCTCAGCCATATTCCTTTCTGAAGCTTTAACGCCACAAGGTGAAATGACAGGACTCCCAGACTGAAACAGATCTGAACTTGTTCCTAAGCTATAGGTGAAATTTTCCATCTGCTTCCTTATCCTTCCTGCTTGAATGTACTAACAGGACTTCCATTTGCATGCTGGCTAGCATCTTCCTCTTGTGCTTCATGTGGCTTCTCCCTTTAGCTTCCCTATTTCTTTTCAAAATATGCATAGGGAAACTGTCATTCAGGGATGTTTTGCATACATAGGCATATGTGTGTGCGTATGCATATATGTGTGCATGCATTTATGTTATAGATGCCATGTTATTTTTTATTTTAAATGACAATATGACAGATGTAATCTCTCCCATCTAACTCTCTGAGCCCTTACCAAAGCACATTTATATTCTGTTTTTCACTATAGTGTAATTGTTATTTAATCATTTACAGGACTCTTGATGCATCAAGATGGCCACTTAATTTTTCAGGTGAAACAATATTGCTTCCATTTTCTCACTTCTCAATTCGGTTAAAATTAAGTGTTTTTCTTTTTCTTAGCATCTACCCCTTGGAAGAGGGTAGAATCTGGGCACTATGTGTGCCTGTGAGTCAGTAGACTCCTTATTGAGTTGGTTATCTTGATAAATAATCTTTGGGGGTGAAACAGTTTGTATTAACTGCAAGATCACTACTTATATCATGTTTTTCAGGACAGTTTATACTGGGACAAATAGGTTAAAATTGAACTGTATGGTATTTGCATTTAGGTTTGAAAGAAAAGAATCTGTAGTGAAAGCTATGTAATATATAATTTGTCCAGATCAGTTTTCATTTGGGGGAAAGGAGCTCTGAAGTATCTCTCGAGCAGTTGTTACTCACCAAAAGAAAGTTCTCCAGACCGAGAATTATTGGGAAACTATGTTGTGTGGTGGTGAAAAAGAAAAGCTCCCTAAGGTTTTGGAGGGAATAACTCTAAAAATACTTACATGGCTAAGTTTACTTGGTGCAGTTAAGAATTAAACTTGTCAATTTTATCATTGCTGTCACATCTGAAATAAACTTATCTGATGTCTAGTAGTGAAAAAAAAAGATCTACCCTTTAATAAAGAAATATAAACAATTCCACTAGTACATTTGAATAGTATTAGTATGATTATCCACCAACATCACAGTCTACTTCCCTCACACCCCACAGCAATTAGAAGGGCCATTGATATGATTACTTATAAAATTATATGCTTGCTTATGAAATTAAATGAACATATTTTATTAGCATATTAGCTTGCTTATGTAATTAAATGAACATATTTTATTATAAAATGGCAAATAAAAAAGAGGAACTTTAGGGTCAACTCTTAAGATTTACATAATGGGATAGAAAGCCACAGTACCTTGGGGTTTCCTCTCACGCTGCAGTTCAGGGTGGCGTTATAACCAGCTATGGCGTAGGTGTTCACCAAAGGCTGAGTAAACATAGGTGCCTCCGTGAAATCAAAGTCTTCATACACTGGATTTTTGTAGATTTTACCTTAAAAATAGCATTAAAATATGTATAAAATACAAATTGGCCTGGGGATGTATTATTCTTGGCATACTTTATTCCTGATTGAAACTTCCCTGAAGTTAGGAAAACAGGAGCAAATGCCACATGACATGACATATATTCTGAAGGACGCACATGCGTAGCTGGTCACCTTGGAGACAGAAAGGCAGGGAGGTGATCTGACACTGAAATGGATACTGGGAGGACTTTGTTGTCTTTCTAAATATTTCGATCAGATATTTGTTCTAATGTAAAAATACTACAAGGAAGGTTTTTAGGAGAGTGATTTATAATAAAAATGAAATCATAAAGATATGTTACCTTTTTCTTCCTCTACAGAAACTATCCCATGTATGGAAAATACTGAAGATGTTCAAAAATAAAAGTAACAGAAGGAAATCCCCAAACGATCTCCTTTTCCCTGTCTCTGTGGCATTTGTCTCTTATAGGTCCATTTGCCCAGAAATGAGAATGAGTTAAAGCTATATTTGCAAATTTGTACTAATAAGGAGAAATGGGGAAGAATGAGTAAAAGGGGTGACACTGATCAAGATGCGCTGTACTCATAAACTGAATGGTGGATTGAAACCTCTTTGTGCAACTATTTGAAGATAATTTTTAAAATGCAACAATAATAAAATTTCCCTAGAAAAAGGTACCTCTAAGACTACAAGTTTCCTTGAACATGTAATTTTCCAATGGAGGTTGGCTATTTTCTTTCTTTTCCTTTTTTTGGTCAGTCGTGGGGCCTGAACTCTGGGCCTGAGCGCTGTCCCTCAGCTTTTCAGCTCAAGGCTAGCACTCTACTACTTTTGCTACAGCGCCACTTCCAGCTTTTTCTGCTTATGTGGTGCTGAGGAATCGAACCCAGGGCCTCGTGCATGCCAGGCAAGCACTCTACCACTGAGCCACCTTCCCAGCCCTGGGGTTGGCTATTTTCTTACTCTTTTTCACCACACCCCTTCTTTGTGTGGTGTCCATTTTTCATCCACCAGGGTTTTCAAGCGCCAGCCCCGCCCCTCCGGACTCACCGTCCTTGGCGATCACAGCGCTCTCTTTAGTCATTGTCGCATCCTCACTGAGACCACACATGTTCTCTGCAAAGACCCGGAAGTAATATTCATTCCCTATGACCAGCTCAGTAATGGTGGCATTGGTTCTGTGATAATGCTCAATGACAGTGAACCACTCCTGAAAGCAACAAACAAGAACACCTTTCAAGAAAATCACAACTTGCCCACCTGTTCATTGGAATAAAGAAGGAAGCTTTATTACATTCATTAAGTGTCATATGGAGAGCAATCACAATGAACACTTCATTGGCTTAATGCTTTAGAATTGGCCTTCACTTGACTATGTAATGTACTCTTCATTTTCTTACTAGGTTCATACGCTCTATTTTTTATTTTTATGTTTTTGCCAGTCCTGGGGTTTGAACTCTGGGCCTGGGCCCTGTCCCTGAACTTCATTTGTTCAAGGCTAGCCCTCTACCACTTGAGCCACAGTGCCACTTCTGGTTTTAAAAACCACAATTTTATTTATTTTTGTTTATGTGGTACTAAGGAATCAAACCTAGGGCCTCAGAGTGCTAGACAAGCACTTTACCCACTAAGCTACATCCCCAGCCCCATTTTTGGCTTTTTCTGTTTATGTGGTACCTAGGAATGGAACTCAGGGCTTCACACATGCTAGGCAAGCACTGTTCAACTGAGCCACATTCCTAGCCAGGTTCATATACTCTAGATGTCATCTTGTAATGCCATTACTTTCTTTATAGCCATATAGTGTCTCTTATCTATCCACTTACCTATCCATGAATGCATCTTTTGTAGAACAAAGTATTTTAGTGCCCAACTTTGTTGTTGTTGGGCCTGGGGCTTGAACTCAGGTCCTGGGCACTGTCCCTGAGCTTCTTTTCCTCAAGGCTAGTGCTCTACCACTTGAGCCACAGCACCACTTCTGGCTTTTTCTGAGTAGATTATTGGAGATAAGAGTCTCACAGACTTTTCTGCCTAAACTAGCTTTAAACTGTGATCTTTGGATCTCGGCCTCCTGAGTAGCTAGCATTGGAGGCATGAGCCAAGAGTGCCTGGCCCAAGTCTTATTTTAATGTGTAATATGTACCAAGGTAACAAAAGCTGTGCTAAGAAAGAAACAGCTTGAAATCCCTGCCTGTCACTCAAGACTGCCTGTTCAGCCCTTGCCCTTCTGTGGATGCTATGTAACTTCCAACGTTCTCATTGAGATCTAAAGTAGACGCATAAAGACTTTCTATCAGTATCAGTCAGTATGATACCTTAAGATTGCTTTGGGCCATACATGCTGTGTGTCTGAGTATTCTTTTTTTTTTTTTTTTTTGCAGTTGTGGGGCCTGAACTCTGGGCCTGACCACTGTTCCTCAGCTCAAAGCTCAAAGCTGCGCTCTACCACTTGAGCCACAGCACTACTTCTGGCTTTTTCTGCTTATGTGGTGCTAAAGAATCAAACTCAGGGCCTCAGGCATGCAAGGCAAGCACTCAACCGCTGAGCCACTTTCCCAGCCCCATGTCTCAGTATTCTTCTAGCCATTCCTTCACTTCTAGGTAAGCGAGAATGGATTCTGATTCAAGAGTTGGACATTCAAATTCTGGTGCTCTTCTAATAAGCCACTGATCTTTTCTGAGTCTCAGTTTCCTCATTTATAAAATGGAGGTTACACTAATTCATACTTACCTGGGTTGTTTCCTGAACATACTAAGCTGTTTTCTTCCTCAGAACATTTCACATGCTGTGACTTTTTGAAACTTTCTTTCATAGCTGTTATCTTTTTCTCTTTTTTTTGAAGCTATAAATCCACAATATCCAACATTTATTTCACAAAGAGAAATACTTGTATAAGTATGAATCTTAGAATCCAGACTGACTACATAGGCACTGAATGAATGAATGAATGAATGAATTTTTGGAGTTTGAGTGAGCATTTGCAGTTGCTGCTTTAGAATCACCAAGAGAAAGAATTCTGTCTTCTACATTTCATACATATGGAAAATGGAATCCAAAAGGTCAAATATTTGGTTAGGTACTTGTGTCTGAGTGGCAATGTGCAGACTCCAGCCCAGCTCTGAGGCCCAGATCTCCTACCTTCTATCCTTGTGTATCAGTGATCCATGGCCCCCACCTATGTTATCTCTGATGAAATATGACTTTGCCCCTGTGGCAGAAGCAGAGATAGCCAGACCTTACCATGCTCTTCTTGTCAGCCTTCTGGATTGTGTACCCAGTGATGGCAGCATTCCCATCATCCTTTGGTGGTGTCCATGTCAGAGCAACGTTCTCTCCCCAGACATCTTCAATAGTCACAGCTTGGGGTGGGCCTGGGCGGTCTAGAGGAGAAATCCATGATATCACTATGAGGTCACTCTGCTCCCTGTTACGTCAAGATTCCACACTTCTTCTAGAATGGAGCCACACCAGAGCACCAAGCAGCCTTACATTCCTCCCAACATATTCCAAAATGGTAGAGCCGGAGGGAAAAGAGTGCCTTGGTTCAAGAGCACCGCCTCACACCCAAAGAGAGGTGGACCAAAGGTGTCCCCTTGGCAAGAGACCCTCAAGTTTCAACAGATTTACTAAAATATGATCATAAAAGTGATTGGAAACAAGGCTTCTCCTAACTCTGCTCTTGCCTGCCTGCCTGCCTGCCTGCCTGTCTGCCTTCCTTCCTTTCTTCCTTCCTTCCTTTCTTCCTTCCTTCCCTCCTTCCTTCCTTTCTTCCCATCTTTCTTCCTTCCTTCCCTCCTTCCTTCCTTTCTTCCTTCCTTCCCTTGCAACCTCCCTCCCTCCCTTCCTTTCTTCCTATTTTCCATTTTTAGTTTTTAGGGCTTTTTTAAATTTTGTTTTGAGACAGAGTCTCAGTAAATACCCCAAGCTGAGTCAAATTCACAATGTTCTTGCCTTAGCCTCCCGAGTTCTGGGATTACAGATATGAACCATTGCACCTGGCTCTCCAGTTTATTTCTTGAGACATTTCAACAATTATAGAACTGTAGAAAAGTATAGTGCAAGAAAGAGGGGAGTACTCACAAGGTATCTATGCTTCATCCATTCCACTAACTTGGGTAAAAGTACAAATGAACTTGCATTTACCTTTTTTTAAAACACTATCTAGCCCTGAAGGTACAGCCCATCTAGTGTTTAACTTTGTTTAGGTTCATCTTTTGTCTGTTTAGTGAAATATTTTTCATTGGAAAGTCCATGCAACTTACCTCCAATTAACCACCAGAAAACTGGAAGTGGAGGTGTGGCTCAAAGTGGTAGAGCACTAGCTTTGAGTGAAAGACCTCAGGGACAGCTCCCAGGCCCTGAGTTCAAGCCCCACAACCACCACCACCACCAATAGTAATAATAATATAATAATAATAATAATAATAATAATAATAAGAAGAAGAAGAAGAAGAAGAAGAAGAAAGAATTGTATGTAAAGCCAATATCCCTTTAGTGACAAGGACAATCACCTTACTATTTTGATAGAATATTCTAGTTCCTTTCTCCAAACTTACCCACGATCTGGATGTCAATGGATGCATTTTCCACATATTTGTCCACTTTGACCTGCAGATCGTATTTCCCAGAGTGGCTCCTCTCTGCTTTTCTGATAAATATGATTGTATCAGTCTCAGAGTTGCGAATGTTTATTTGATTCTTATCAATCTCTTCACCATCCTTTTTCCAAGTTAATTCTGGTCTGGGTTTACCCTAAAAAGACAGAAGAAGTAGAAGAGAAAAGTCAGGTTGTCACCAGATTTTCTTTCCTTCCTTTCCTCCTTCCTTCCTTCATTCCATCTTCCTTCTTTCCCTCCTTCCCTCCCTCCCTCCTTCCCTGCTCTCTCTTGTTCTTTCTTTCTTTCTCTTTCTTTCTTTCTTTTTTTCTTTCTTTCTTTCTTTCTTTCTTTCTCTCTCTCTCTCTCTTTCTTTCTCTCCTTCCTTCTTTTTCTTTCTTTCATTCCTTTCCTTATTTTTTTTTTGCCAGCCCTGGAGCTTGAATGCAGAGCCTGGGCACTGTCCCTGAGCTTCTTTTGCTCAAGGCCAGCACTCTACCACTTGAGCTACAGGGCCACTTCCAGCTTTTTCTGTTTATGTGGTGCTGAGAAGTGGAACCCAGGGCTTCATGCATACTAGGGAAGCACTCTACCACTAAGCCACATTCCCTGCCCTCCAGATTTTTTTGTCAACATCATAAGCATGAAAATAACCTAATCTATTACAGGCAAGGTTGGAAAACATTACTACCTTAGGTAGCAGGTGGGTGAAAAACAGCCAAAATCCACCTCCTTCACTTTGCAAGACACAACTCAGAACAATATTATTACATCCCTTAATCACTATACCAAGGTAAGTAATATGATCCTCTTTTTGTTGTTGTTATTGTTATTGTTGTTGTTGGTGGTGGTCGTGGTGGTGGTGGTGGTCATGGGGCTTAACTTCAGAGTTTGGGTGCAGTCCGTGGACACTCTTTTTGCTCAAGGCTAGCACTTTACCACTTTGAACCACAGTGCTACTTCCAGGTTTCTGGTGATAAAAGTCCCTCAGACTTTTCTGCCTGGGCTGGCTTTGAACTACGATTCTCAGATCTCAGCCTCCTGAGTAGCTAGGATTACAGGCGTGAGCCACCAGCACACGGTGATCCTTACTTTTTGAATAGAGGAGCTAAACATTTTATTTGCCCAACACCTCAGAATTAAAGAAGTACTGGAACTAGGTCTCCAATATGAAAGACACAGAATATTGATTATGACTGTATGCCCTGAAGCTCTGGGAGCTATATTTGTACCTTGGCTATTTAATAGCTGTGTACCCTTCAGCAAATTATAAAACTCTCCAGGTCTTACTTTCCTAATTTGTGAAATAGGAATAATGATATACTCATCTTCCAGGGCAGGTATAAAGACTGAGGTCCCACCCAATTTTCTAGACTTCACAAGTATTTTATTAACATTGCTAACGGCTCGTGCTGTTTATTCCTCTGCATGGCGTGCTGATCTTGGGCCTGTCTAGAATTCTCTGTGTTCTCTCTGGCTGCTGACCTTAAATTCTTTTTTTTTTTTAACTAGAACTGGGACTTAAACTCAGAGACTTGTGTTCTTACTTAGCTTTTTCTCTAAGGCTGGCATTCCACCACTTGAACCACACTTCCTTCCAGCTTTTTGCTGGTTAATTGGAGAGTCAAGTCTGGCGATTTTTCTGTCTGGTATGACTTCAAAACATGATCCTCAGATCTCAGCCTCCTAAGTGCCTAGGATTACAGAAATGAACTAGCACTGGGCCCCATCTTGTATATATATAAATTACACTCAGAGTTTTGCTTAAAATATTAGCCAAGCTGGGAACAAGCAGTTCATGCCTGCAATCCTAGTTACTTAGGAGGCTGAGATCTGGAAGTTCATAGTTGGAAGCTAGCCCAGGCAGAAAGGTCCAAAAGACTTTAACTACCCAGAAAAAGCAGGGCTAGAGGCATAAGCTCAAGGAGTTGGGCATGAACCCTGAGTAAGGAAGCCAAGCAAGCTCAAGGCCCTGAGTTCAAACCCCAGTCTCATAATAATAACAACGAAATCAGTGTTACAAAAAGCTGGGACCATACAGAGTCACCTTCATGTGGTCTCTTCTAAATATTCTTCCCCTGTAGCCCCCAGCTTCAAGACTACATCTTGTTTGTCTTCTGAAGAAGAAAAATCTGACAGTTCTATATATTGATCTTCTATTTATTTATTTATTTTTGCTAGTCCTAGGGCTTGAACTCAGGGCCTGGTCACTGTCCCTGAGCTGCTTTTGCTCAAGGTTAGAACCCTACTACTTGAGCCATAGTGCCACTTCAGCTTTTTCTGTGTATGTGGTACTGAGGAATTGAACCCAGGGCTTCATCCATGCTAGGCAAGCACTCTAACATTAAGCCAACATTCCCAGCCTCTGATCTTCTTCAATAGCGAAAGATACTTTCATGAGGGAACAGCTTACACTAAGCAAAAGGAAAGAAATATACATATCAACCAGTTTGGAAGAAATAGTTGTATTGTCAAAGTTTGTAGACTTCATAAGCTTTATAGACCAAGATAATAACAATTTGCCTTGTGAAGGTTAAAGTGTGTTTGTGACTTTAGCTAAGTATCACTTTCCCACAATACAGTGCAATTTATGTAATCACTTCATCTCAATAAAGAAATTTTTTTAAGAGAGAGATACTTTCGTGATCATGCAAATCTTTTCAATGCATTGACTTACAGTTTTCCAAGGAAATCCTGAACCATGATGAACTTGAATAGTCAAGTACTTTCGTCTACCTTGTAAATATGTCAGTCCCAGAGAGAGAAAATGAGAGAGCACTAGAATGTTACCTGGAAAGGTATAACCAGATTCACGGCTTCTCCAACTCTGCGGATATAAGTTTGTTTTAGGTGCCTTGGGATGCGAATCTTTGGAGGCTCTGAGAAGGGAAAATCGTATAATTTCACAGTCAGTACTCTATCTCTGAAATAGCCATGCATAGGCACAATGGTATGATGCTTAGCAGCCAATCTTTATAGTCATATTTCTGTAATACAAGCTTAGATATACCACTAACAGAACAAATGGCAACTCTGGTCCAAACTATTGTCTTCCAACAGAGATGTTTTGACAGTTGCAACATTTTCCCTTGCTCTGGCTTTATTACAGCTTTGTATTTTTATTTTTGTTATGGGTCTAAAACATTTTTTTAAACTGACATATTTTATCTCAAAATCTTATACACATTTTTCATAGTACCTTACCTTACAGCAATAATCTTTTTCCGATGATCATTCTATTAAAGATCTAAATGTTGATATAACTCTCCTTTTTCATTATTAAAAAAAATTAACAGCTAGCACTTGCTAGTTAGGTAGGCTCAATAGAGTTCAATAGTTACTCTCTCCTCTCTGACTCAGTAAAAGATAGTTGGATTCTCATATTTATTTCTACCTTCAATCTGGCGCAGTATGTACACAAAGCATATTTTCACATAGATGGTAGGAATATTTTAAGAAACTTTTCAGGCAATTATAGATATTCCTCTTTGATTCCACACTAAAACATGGATTGTAGTTTCCTATGAGGGAAATACTTAGTAGTAAATTGTACAAAGAAGTTATAAGTCCATAAGTCAGGTTATGAGTACAATGCTTTTTGGTCAATGTGACCCCTTCTACTGTTCTCCTCATTTTTCCCTGGCCTATCCCTATCCTCAAATTATGTAATTCAGATTTTACATAATGTACATTGAATGTAATGAACTCATTTGCTTGTTTCCTGGGGAGGAATACTTTAATAAGCGTTTCACGCAATTGTAAATATTCCTCTTTGACTCTACACCAAAATATGGGTTGTAATTTCCTAAAGGTTGGCTGCAATGGGAACCTAAAACCATTTCAATGACCTTTTTCACACTCTGTAGCATTACAATCTATTGTCAGATGGTACAGTGGTTGATATCTGTGTTCTGGGAGGTGGAAATCAGGAGGATTTGTGATTTAAGACCTGCCCAGGGGAGAAGTTTCTGAGATTTCCATGCCAAACTAACAAAAAAGCTGGAAACAATGGCATCCCAACAATGTGGGAAATATAAATAGGAAGACTGATATCCAGATCAGCCAGAGCATAAATGCAAGATCCTATTTGAAAAATAATAAAAGTAAAAATTGATGGGAGAGAGGTTCAAATGGTAGAGTGCCTGTCTAGCAAGCATAAGGTCCTGAATTCAAACCTTGGTGCCACACTCCCGCATGCACCTGTGTGTGTGTGTGTGTGTGTGTGTGTGTGCGTGCACACATACAAATCCACATTTCATTTTGAATGTATCTTTTTTCCCCCAGGAATGATCCATTTTTAATGAGTTTCATTTAATGAGTCTCATGGCACAAGCTGTCCTATGAAGTCAAGCAATCTCTCTGCCTCTGAGCAAGAAAGGAGCTTAAGACAATAAAAAGAGAAGATTAAATTGGAAAACGTTGTCACCTACCTATTATTTCCTTCACAAGGATGGGCTGAGAATAGTACTTGGGCTCGCTAGCACCTGCTGCATTAATAGCCTTCACACGCACGAAGATCTTAGAGTCGGTGGGCAGACCATTGATGGTGAACTTTGTCTTGTCAATCAGATCTGTGTTTGCAACTATCCAATCCTCAGCTAAAACCCATACAAGAAAAAAGAAAAACCTGTTAAGTGAAAGAAATCACCTTAGCTGTTGTCAATTCCAACTTAACCTTTTACTCAGAAATCATTGGAAAGATTCTGCTGTTTTTTTTAAAAAAAACTACACCTTTTACTCAATGAATCTTGCATCTTAGATACTGAACTGAAGGTTTTATAATAGTTTTATTGCAATATGTAAGCATTTGTGCACATTAAAGCTCAAAAAGACAAGAAATTGCAATTGCTATTTTTTTTTGTGGCACTAGGGTTTTGAACTAGTGAGCTCAGACCTCTTAAGCAGGTGCTCTACCACTTAAGCCACATGCCCAGCTGTTTTTGCTTTAGCTATTTTTCACATGAGGCCTTTTGCTAGGAATGAGCCTTAAAACCCCAATTGGCCTACCTACCCTTCTGCAGAGGTAGGATGACAAAGACATGTCATGATTATTGAGACAGGGTTTCCGCTAACTTTTTGCCTAGGCTGGCTTCAAACCTCAGTCCTCTTATCTCTGCCTCCTAAGTAGCTAGGATTACTGGTGTGAGCTACTGTATTTGGCTCCAGGAAATTGCCACTATGAATGAGACATTGACCTCGATCGTTATATAATCTCTCCATTTTATCTTGGCTATATTTTTATTGCCAGACACTAATGCGAGCTCAAAGAATGTGACTGTGTTCATTAGCATTCATGAAGAAAAGAACAGTATGTTTACAAGAAGGGAACGCAGCTCATGAGCTGATTGATACCTTAAAGGAAGTGGAGCAGCCTTTCCTTTTCATCAAAGACCGGATTTGTAAAAATAAAGAGAGATTAAAAAAAATAACTCCCCAAAACTTCACAACATTCTTGGTAGCTTTGTCTACAACCTCAAAAGAAGTGAAACCCAGCCACCAGGTTTACAAGTATTTCAGCTTCTAAAAGATGGTAGGTATTGTGCCCACAGATTGAGCCCCCTCCCCTTACCCCAAACTCTGTGTGTGTGTGTGTTGGGGGGGGGGAGGGGGCGTGAGGACAGTCCATGCGTGGCCACAGAACATTCTGGGGAAAAAGTTATCACACAGTGAGAAAGTTCAAGAGTGTCACAGAATACGTTACCTGGTAGCTCATAGGCAGCCTCCCCATTTTCACCAGACTGTTTTGCTGCTGTACCTTTGAGAATCCGTCATTAAAATTAATTAAAGACACCCACTTTCACACCAGAAGAATGTTGCATCAGTAGTCAGCATTCTCTGTTAGTACAGTATGCAAAGTATGCAAGAGAGATTTGTCTTCAGGGTAGTGACGCAAGAGACCAAACGTGTTAGGAGAGGGGAGCTTCTCAGGAGGGCCACGGCCTGCTGGGGTGCAGCCTGTGACTTCTGTCCTGAGGTACCTGCTCCAGAGAAAAGGAAGGATCTAAGAGAGAGAGAGAGAGAGAGAGAGAGAGAGAGAGAGAGAGAGAGAGAGGAAGGAGGAGGAGGAGGAGAAGAAGGAGAAGAAGGAGAAGGAGAAGAAGGAGGAGACAGAGAAGGAGGAGACGGAGAAGGAGGAGGAGGAAGAAGAGAAGGAGGAAGAGGAGAGGAGAAGAAAAAGGAGAAGAAAAAAGAGAAGAAAAAGGAGGTGGGGTGGGGCACCTCCAGCTGTAGAAAGAAGAGATAGAGAATGACAAAGCAAGATACTGAAGGAAAAGGAGGAACGGGCCCTAGATTCCATGGTAGGAAGAATTCAGTGCACAGTGGAACACCTTCCTGGGTTCCAGTCCCTCTGCTTCAACCCTGGGAGGGTCTTCTCCAGTCCCTAGGGAACCTGATGCTCCCGGGGTGGGGGTCCCTTATCAGAACCTTGAAATATGAGACTTGTCCTAAGGCCGAAAGCCAGCCAGGGACTCAGCCATGTCTTTCCAGGTTATGAATGGAATCTGTTCCCGGAGCTCAGGAGGCATCCCTGGTTGCCATGACAACAAATTTTGGATTAAGAAAAGAAACGGAGCCTGCCCCTGGGCAGGGGGGATGGTGGGGGGTGGGGGGTGGGAGGGGCCCTCACTGGCTTGTTTTGGACCGTGCCCCTCTGGTTGGGGATGATATGCTTTTGCTTGAACTAGGAAAGGTGCTGGGGCAGGGACAGGACTGGCTGGCACTGGAATCTTTGCCTCTGTCTTCTAGCCCCACCAGGAATATGAAGAAAGAGTAGGCAGGGAATCAAGATATCCTGGCATCTTTGGGGGGAAAAAAGTGATAAATCTTTAAACAAATGGTCTGTTGGAGAGCTGCTATATTGTTAGTATTTTCGTAGTCAAGAGACAAAAGAGAAAAAAATAGATGAAAGCATGTACAAAAGAATGAGGAACAGGGAAAAGCAAGTTTCAAGAGAAAACATGGTAAAGATACAGTAGGGCGGAGGGAAAAAACCCAACCCATCCTTACATTTGAACCACTTTCATGGAGGAAAATAGAGAGAGAAAATGATGTCCAGAGGGATAAACGAACATCATGGAAGTTGTTTAATAGGTGAAGTGAGAATTTAAGAAAGAAAAGACTGAGCTCGAGTGGAGAAAGAAAAGAGTAAAATGCTGCAGGCATCACAATAACAAAAAACAAAACCAAGAGAGAGGCAGAACCAACCAAACAAACCAAAACCAAAACCAAAAAAACCCCAAACCACACAATCGTATACAAGAAAGAATTCTCTTACAGAATAAACCTCACATATCCAAAAGCATTAAACACTACAGAAAATTAGTTTGGAGGACACCAGCCATTAAAAGAGAACAAAGGATGAGGCAGCCACATAAAAGAAAAAGGAACTTTACGAAGAGAGATCTACACGTTATAAAAGAACTTCAATAGAAAGCTAATTCCAAAAGGTTATGTGGCAAAATATATACATAATAATGACTGCGTACATATACATATGTATACCCATCTATACATATATATCTACGCAGATCACACGCACAATTATGTAAAATACACTTTGTTGTATTTTATCTACGGTGGGTAACATCAAAATGACAGCCATCTATCATTTTGCTGTATCTTCTTACTTTTTAAACCTATCAGAAAGAAAAGAGTAAAGAATTTGCTCTATTTCATACATTCACAACATGTTTGGGTTCAGCAGCCACATCACAAATATAAGATTAAGAAGTTCTGTCGCCTGCACAATCTATAGAGTGCTGTCTCGTGACTTTCATAAAAGAAGAATAAAGGGACAAATGAAATAGGAATCAACCATATTCTGAAATGCTGAAGATTTTTCTCATTGAATTAGTCACGGTATCCATTCCTCTTGCTGCATTTACCCTGAGACTTTATTTAAATTTTTTCTTTAAATTTTGGTATCCCCATAGGTTTGGATAGTGGCTTGCGAAGACCTGGGAAGACCAAGTCTAGTACCCTGAGTGAGGTACATGCACAGGGCATTGAGAACGCCCCACTCCTCTTCTTCCCTCCTGAGCAGCAACGATTATTTCTATTGGTGACTCCATCCAGAGTCTGGGGCTTTCTTCTAGGCAGTAAATTTCTCTTCATAAGTTTCTTCCCCACAGTGGATTTCCTCCAGTGAAGGTGCATTTGTATTCACAGCCCTCGCTTTGCAAATGCACACTGTCCTCTCTGTTCTTCATTTGGAGTATTTATTTGCATTATAGTCTGGGATTCAAAGAGTCATTTTAAGGATTAAATTTTAGGTTCCACTAAAAGTAGAACAGAGCAAGCTTCTCTTGTTTATCTTCCATCGATCAGAGAGGACCTGTGCCCACTGCCAGAGCAGTTTTATGTTCCCATTTTCATCCTTCCTTTTTTCCTTCCTTCCTTCCTTCCTTGTTTTGGTTTCCTCCCTCCCTCCCTCCCTCCTTCCCTCCCTCCCTCCTTCCCTTCCTTCTTCCTCCCTCCCTCCCTCCCTTCTTTCCTTCCTTCCTTCCTTCCTTCCTTCTTTCTCTCCTCTCTATCTCTTTTTCCTGTGCTGAGAATTGAACCCAGTGCCTCAATCATGTTAGGTAAGAGCTCTATATCCCCAGCCTGTAATTCACCCATAGTTGAATGCTATCCATGGAGGAATCCAAGATACACATCAGGCTTTTGGTGACTGTCACATTACTTTGTTTTGATCCATGTTTTCCCGTGGCATTTTCTATTCTTCCATTACTTCTATTAGTGATCTCCCTCTCCCCCAAGTTTCATATTTCCAAGCTTTAAGGTAGCTTACTGCCACATCATGCTTCGTAGATTCTCTGAGATTTAATGATGCTGCTTTTAAGAGCTGTTTTAAATTCTTTTGCCTGTTCTTTATCGTTTTTGTTCCCTTCTTAAGGAGTCAAGAGACAATCGCCACAGAGTCAAACATGTAGTCTCTCATTATTACATCAAATGGTGGTTCTTTTGTTAAGTAGTTCCATGATGGTTTTAGAAATCCCTATGTGCTTCATTCTAACTAGACTTTCAGTGTGCTGTGCTAAGGTACTATGCAGCTAGACTGGTTGCAGGAACAGAGATCCCTGAAGTTTTGTCAGAAGCTTTTTCTCCTATCTCTCCATTCAATCATGTCATCTAATATCATGGCCTAGCCAGGGTGGTTTTCAGGTCTTAATTTATTAGCATCTTAATTTACTATGACTTAAGAATAAGACTACATTTTTATACACATCAGAGGATGACATCGGACTTGATCTCATTTTCAGTATGAGATGCGTTCCCAAGAGAGAGAAAAGAAAATGGGGCTATGTCTCACCTAGGGACGATGGTATTCACTGTAACATCTAGGGGTACTTACTTCCTTCCAAGCAATACTCTAGCACATAGCCATCTAAACCTGCAGCTCCAATCTGGTCTGGGGGCCTCCATTTCATTGTCACAGATGAGTCGGTAACAGAGTCGACGGCCAGAAGAGTCGGAGGGCTGGTTACAGCTGACAAGATAAAGGAGACAGAAAAAGCAGCATGAAACCTGTTGAAATGAATTGAGATGCAATTAAAAATAGATGCTGAAAGCTGGGCATTCATGGCTCATGCCTGTCACCCTAGCTACTCAGGAGGCTGAGGGCTCTCCTAAGAAAGAACTGGATCCTTCCCAGTTCAAAGCCAGTTTGGGCAGAAAAGTTCATGAGACTCTTAACTCCAATTAAGCTCCAGAAATTTGGAAGTAGAGTTGTGGCTCAAAGTGGTAGAGTGGTAGCCTTGAGTGAAAGAGCTCAGGGATAGCACCCAGGTCCTGAATTCAAGCCCCATGACTGACAAAAGAAAGAAAGGAAGAAAGGAAGGAAAGAAGAGAAAAGAAAGAAAGAAAGGAAGGAAGGAAGGAAGGAAGGAAGGAAGGAAGGAAGGAAGGAAGGGAGAAAGAAAAAGAAAGAAGGAAGGAAGGAAGAAGGAAAGAAGAAGAGAAAGAATGAGAAAAAAGAAAGAAAAAGAAAGGAAGGAAGAAAAGAAGGAAAGGAAAAGAGAGGACAGGAAAGGGAGGACACTGAAGCCGGATGCTGCAATTCTAGCTGCTCAGGAGGCTGAGATCTGAGGATTGTGGTTTGAAGCCAGCCCATGCAGGAAAGTCTGTGAAACCCTTATCTCCAATAAATCACCAAAAAGCCAGAAATGGAGCTATGGCACTAGCGTTGAGCCACAAAGCTTAATGACAGTACCCAGGCCATGAGTTCAAGCCCCAGGACCAGAAGAAAGAAAAAAAGAAAATAAAAATAGACACTGAAGCCCGAAACCCCACACCTTAATTAATTAATTAATTAATCCAATTAAGCACCCTTCTCCCATCCTAGTGTGTGAGGGCAAAAATCTGCTCAACGTGTGACTTGTAGAAATATTCCTATATTTGTTCTCCGGTTTAGGATCGGTGAGAGAGCCTGGGAGGCCCAATGGAATTGAAGAAGTCCAAGCTGGGGGATCTAATGATCTCGAGGAAATTTCCCATAAGCCTCTGAGTCTAAAGCACAGACTCCTGCACTAAATTTCCTTTCAGTTGCGAAAGTACCATAAACTAAAGGAGGCATCCTCACTGAACTGGCATGTGTTTGGGGTTAGTGGGTAATGCTCAAGTGCAGTTACAAAGCAGGCATGTGTTTCTAGCTGTAGACTGCTGAACACATCTCAGGTAGCTTCAGTTTATTTTGCAGTGCTCACACCCAGGTCTCTAAGACTTTGGAAAGAAAGAAGGAATGAAGCAGCACAGTGTAATCCTGAGCCCAGTTTCATCTTGGCTGTGGGAACTGGAATGCAGCCACCCACCGCTGGGGTTGACGTTATGACTGTTGTCAACTCTACCACAGTTGCTTTGAATTTCACAGACAGAATAGAATATGGCCCCTTACCTCTTCCATCCAACCCCTACCTCACATACAACACCAAGAAGCCTGTGGGCCAGCTGTAATTAGACCTGGGGCAATGGATCCCATGACTGAAGACATATCTTTCTGGACTCACCCAGAGGAACAAATGGTTTGGAGGGCATGCTGGGCTTGGAGATGCCGATGGCATTGACAGCAAAGATGCGGACTTCGTAGGCTACACCTTCAATCATTTTCTTGGGCTCAAAAGTTGTTTCTTTGCAGAGGTCGAAGTTGAGTCTCATCCACCTGGAGCTTTGTTTCTTTTTCCTCTCAATAAAGTACCCTGCAGGTGCACAAAATGGAAACTAAGGTCTCTAAACTGAAACTTTAGCATATATGGGAAGTTCTTAAAAGTCTGCATGTTCTTTGCACACCAAGTGAAATAATCCTGTAGGTTCATATTTTAACCCACCTTATTCCAATCAGATATTATTTAAAAATGATACGGAAGCTGGTCTGGAAAGTGGGAAAGGGTAGGAAGGAGAATGATAAAGGGTAGGAGAGACAGTTCGAAAGCCCTAAGTTCAAGCCCTAGTACTGGTATACACATATATTCACACACATTCTCTCTCTCTGCATTGTACACATAAATGGAAATGTTAAAAAGAAAACTCATGGACAATTTGAACAAAACCCTTATAATTTATGTTAATAAAACACCAATATTAACATTATAAGATATAGATACAAAAAGATATAGATTCAATAAAAGGACTAGAAAATTTTAAATTATACTAAAAAAGAAGAAAAAATGAATCACACACATATAGGTCATAGCAACTTAGCCACTATGGTTGAACAATATAATGCAGAGTCAATATAGTTGTCTCTGAGTGCCTGCAATGAAGATAAGATGGAAGGAATAATTAGTTTATAAGAAAAAAATTCCTTCTGCCATTGGGCAAGCAAATTCCTCCAGGCATTTAGTGCTAAAGGAAATTTATTCATGTTGTAACTATAATGACACTAGTCATTTACTAACTTAAACACTGTAAGTTAGATGTATAATTGTTTCAATATTAGCTACTGATAACTGGCAAAGAAAGAGAACAAGCATTCAAATAAAAATTTTAAATCTCAAGTAGTTGTAGAATATCATAAACTGTATGTAATTGCAGAATATCTTTTATTGTTGTTGTTGTTGTTGGTTATGGGGCTTGAACTCAGGTCCTGGACACTGTCCTTGGCCTTTTTGCACTCCAAGCTAGTGCTCTACCTCTTGAATCACAGCACCACTTCTGGCTTTTGAGTGGTTTATTGGAGATGAGTCTCAGGGACTTTTCTACCCTGGCTTCAAACCTTGATCCTCAGATCTCAGCCTCCTGAGTAACTAGGATTACAGGCATACACCACCAGTATCCAGCCAGAATATCTTTAAGTGTATATGTGTGTGTGTGTATGTGTGTGTGTGTGTGTGTGTGTGTGTGTGTGTTTTCTGGTCCTGGGGCTTGACTCTGGGCCTGGGCACTGTCCCTGAGCTGCTTTTGCTCAAGGCTAGCGCTTTACCACTTGAGCCACAGCCCTGCTTCTAGCCTTTTCTGAGTAGTTTATTGGAGGTAAGCGTCTCACGGACTTTCCTGCCCAGGTTGGCTTCAGACTGTGTGATCCTCAGATCTCAGCCTCCTGAGTAGCTAGGATCCCAGGCAGGAGCCACCTGAGTCTGGCTATAGGTGTGCTTTAATGTGAGTAAATATTTAGAATCATCACAGTAGGCTTTCTTGAACATGTCGTTTTCTTTTTTTTTTTTTAACAAATGACTTAGAAATTATTAGCTTTAAGTAGCTATACAAAAGCGCTTTAATTGAACATGCTAAAATTGATAAGTATACTGCATTTTGATGGATGTCACCCCTTCCGTCATCTTCCTCCACATCGCTCCCAATCCTACCCATGGCCTTGAACGACCTGGTTCTAAGTTCACATAGTAATACAATGTTAAAAAGGACCCCGAGTGAACTGGCAATGACACCAACTGGTCCATATGCAGTTACCTAAGATCGGAGACCCTCCATCGTAGGCAGGAGGCTCCCAGTTCATGATGCACCAGTCATCCCCCACATCTGACACATTGGGTGCCACTGGAGGGTCCGGGATGTCTGTGGTGGAAAAGCATAGGGGAGAACAAAACTGAGCGAGTACAGAGAAAGTGGGAAAAGGAAGACGCGAGCTTTCGTGCTAATCACAGAAGCTGTTGTTTTCTGAGTATTTTTCCATGTTCCTTGAAATGCATTTAGTAACTACTTGGGAGAAAAAAAATCATACGAGGCCTCATGGGAGAAGATCCCAATAAAAAGTAAAAACAAAACAAAACAAGATATCTCCAAGTCCTTTAAAGTAATGTCTTCACATCAGAACATAAGCTCTTCATGAAACTAGAAAGTTTTGTTCTTTGAAAGTGGTGAAGTGAATAAAGAGCAAATGATTGTAGATTTTAGCTCAGGAGGAAGATTCGTGATATTGGCTGGTAGAAATTCAAGTCAGAAATGGCCAAGTCACCATGTCTTATAAACATACGGAGTAATTTCTGGTCAACTGGAAATACACCTCTCAAAAGAAAACTTCGATGAGAAGAGGAAAGACCATGAGCCCCTGTAACAATAGTCATCTACCAGGCACATTTTCCTTGGTTTCAGGCTTCAGACAATGCATACACAGTAGCTGTCTAAGGAAGATCCTATTCCTCTGTAACGATTGTGAGGTGGGAAATTTTTTTGCTAATTCTATTTCCGTGATTTTTTTTGGCCAGTCCTGGGGCTTGAACTCAGGGCCTAGGCACTGTCCCTGAGCTTCTTTTGCTCAAGGCTAGCACTCTACCACTTGAGTCACAGCACCACTTCTGGCCTTTTCTGTGTAGTAGTACTGAGGAATTGAACCCAGGTGCATGCTAGGCAAGCACTCCACCTCTAAGCCACCTTCCTACCCTCTCAGTGAACTTTATGGCACTTAGAAGCAACTCTGACTTTGCAAAGTCAATGACCAGCAACTCCAAATGGTTGAAAGTAGCTACTTATTCCTCCAATGGAAAGGCATCTAGGCAAGAAAAAATAAGTGAGAGGGAAGAAAAGGGAAGAAAAGAGAAGAAAAGGAAAATGGCAAAGGTAGAAAAATAAAAGAGATGATGATATACTATCACTGTATGATGTCTGTCATTGGTTGGTTGCCCAGAGAAGTTGTCTGAAGGCCAAGAGTATACTCAATCTAGACACGTCAGCTTGATTTTAGAAGTTTTCACACGTGCAGGACTGACCTACAACTTTAATCTTGATGCTTGCATGTGCTTCTCCAGCTTCGTTTTTCAGATTGATGTTGTAAACACCAGAGTCATCTCTCTCAGCTACATCAATGACCAGAGTGCTGCTGTCAGGGTAAGATTCTGCCCGTATCCGGCCACTGCCCTCCATGATAGCCTGGCAAGGAAGTAAACAAAAATGTGACCTGATGTTCACAGCAACAAAGCCCACTTCACAGTGTCTTAGGACCTGAGCTAGTCATGGTGTTAATGCCTAAAATACATTTTTCCCGTTAACCTCACCCAACTCTAGGGACATAGTCACAGGTAAGAAAAGAGCCATAACTTGCCACAGCCCACACCACTGAGAAATGGTACAGTTGAGACTCAATTCCAAAAACCCATTAACCATGAATGTTCTCAAGAGAAAGTTTAGAGGATGAAAAACAGGAGTTTTCCACTCAAATTGTTGAACATCAATTATCCACTTCAAAGGACATGGAAATGTGAGCATCTAATTGGCAAAGTATAGAGAGAAGAGGAGCCTTCTATTATGTTTTTTATTCTATTTTCTTCAGTATTTTTTTTTACATTTTCTCCTTTCTTAAATCTGGAATTTAAAATAGACTTACATGTTTTTAACCCTGATTTCCATGTGATATCTTTCTATATGAAAAAGAATAGTAAATATGCAAAGAGGAAAAAACATAATTCCAGCATAGTTTAGAAGGCAAAAAAAATGCCAGTACCTTTTACATCGACTCCCTGTTCTTGTGTCTGGATGAAGACTCAGGAGTCTTCATGGACACAAGACTGCTCCAAGAGTAAGAGTATCTGAAATTTTTTTGGTAATTCTTGTACTTTATATAATAGGACAAATTTCATTTCTTTGGACAAATTCTGACTCAAGTTATAGATTACATCCTACTTTTTTTTCATTTGAAAAGACAAATACTTATTGAAGGTAGTGTGATCTCCTCTTCACTTTTCTTTTTCTTTCTTTTTTTTTTGGGGGGGGGGTCCGGTCGTGGGGCCTGAACTCTGGGCCTGGGTGCTGTCCCTCAGCTCTTCAGCTCGAGGTTAGTGCTCTACCACTTGAGCCACAGCACCACTTCTGGTTTTTTCTTTTTGCTTATGTGCTGCTGAGGAATCGAACCCAGGGCCTCATGCATGCAAGGCAAGCGCTCTACCACTGAGCCACCTTCCCAGCCCTCTCCTCTTCACTTTTCTATATCCTATTTCATTTGTTGTACTTATAATTTCCATAGGGTAAAATTCACATTTTTGAGATATACATATGATCCTATGAATTTTTAAAAATTGATGTGATTATGTAATTGTTACCACAACCATTCACAAGTGTTCTCATGTTCCTCCACCATTAACCACACCCCACAGGTGGGCCTGACAACCACTGGTAGAATCTGTCCCTAGTGTTTTCTTTCTCTTCAAGTGTCATATAACTGGAATCAGACAGGACATAGGCTTTTGAACCTGACACTACTTTACATAATATTGGTTAACTTCATTCATATTCTGCATCTATAACTAGTACATTGTTTTTTCATTGATGAGTAGTACTCTGGGTTCATATTGTTATAACTACTTGTTTATAAAGTTAGGTTTTACTTCTTTTTTTTCTTTCCAGGTTTGGACAATTGTAAACAAAACTTTCACAAACAATTATAAACAAAGCTGTACATTGATGCATAGGGTTTTTCCTCCCTGGATATAACCTTTAACTTCTCTCAGATAAATTACTAGGAATAACATCATATGGCTTTATAGTAGGTTCATACTTCATTTTTAAAACTAGATGTATCATTTTGCATTCTATTCCATAATAGCTGAGACTTTAGTTGTTGAGTATTCTTATTTTAGTATTGTCAATTGTAAAGTATTTTTACTGACTTATTTTTGTCTCTCTTCTTTTGCTCACTGTAATTATTTTGAGATACACTCATATTCTTGCATATATCAGTAACTATTACTTTTTTATTGCTGACTCCTAGTCCACTATAAGCAAATATTACTATTTAACCATTCGCCTGTCAATAGGCAGTTAGGTTGTTCTCAGTTTTGGGATATTAAAAATGAAGCGACTAGAACATTTGTTCTAGTAGGCTGTTGGACAGTAATATTGGATTTTTCACATTGATAATGATGTCATCTGCAATTAAAGGCAGTTTTTCTTCCTTTTCAAGATGGATGTATTTTCTTTTCCATGCCAGTTGCCCTGCAAAAAGCTCAAGTACAATGTTGACAAAAGATGGTGACAATAACCCCACCCCCCACCAATCTCCTGCTTGGTCTTAGAGGAAAAGCATTCTGTCTTTCTTAATAAGTAGGATAATAATCAGCTAGGTTTTCATTGATATTTTTTCCCTCATGATGAGAAAGTTTCTTTTGTTCCCTAGTTTGCTAAGAGACTTTTATTAGGAATGCATGTTGATTTTTATTTTTTTTATTTTTGCCCGTCTTGAGACTTGAACTCAGGAACTTCTGGCTTTTTTTTTTGATAGTTTATTGATCAGTGTTGCATGTATACTTAAAATAGTGCCCTAAAGTGGAGCTGTTGCCTGAGTGATAGAGTGCCAGTTTTGATTTAAAAAATAGAAAAGCAATGGGACAGTGCCCACACCCTGAGTTCAAGCCCCAGGACTGGCAGACATACACAAAAAATAATGCTGCCCATTTCCACTTTTGCAGTAGAATTCTCTTTTGCAGTAGAATTACCAATCAATTCAAGATGGTTGAAATTTTTATTAAAATCTTCAATATATTGACCTTCCTGTCTTCTTGTTCAACCATCTTTTAACTCCTCCTCCTCCTCTCCCTCCTCTTCCTTCTCTCTCTCTTCCTCCTCCTCCCCATACCCCCTCCCCTCCCTGTCCTCTTCCTCCTCCTCCTCTCTTCCTTCTCCTCCTCCTTTCCTTCTCCTACCCCTCGTCTTCCTCCCCCTTCTCCTCCACCTCCTCCTCCTTCTCCTTTTCCTCCTCCTTCTCCTCCTCCTTCTCCTTCTCCTCCTTTGAACTCACCTCCTGGAAACTGTCCCATAACTTGTTTTTTCTAAAGGCCACTGCTGCTGTACCACTTGAGCCACGGCTCCACTTCTATTTTTTGCTGGTTAATTGGAGATAAAAGTCTCAGGGATTTTTTTTTTTTGGCCAGGGCTGGCTTCAAACTTTCAGATCCTCAGATCTCAGCCTTCTAAGCAGCTAAGATTATACAAATCTAATTATTTTGCCTTACGATTCTGTCATTCTGTGGATTTTGTGTGTGTGTGTGTGTGTAGGGTCTGGTTGTGGGGCCTGAACTTGGGTCTGGGCGCTGTCCCTCAGCTCTTCAGCTCAAGGCTAGCGCTCTATCACTTGAGCCACAGCGTCACTTCCAGCTTTTTTCTTTTTGCTTATGTGGTGCTGAGGAATCGAACCCAGGGCCTCAGGCATGCAAGGCAAACACTCTACCACTTTTCCACCTTCCCAGCCTGATTTTTTTTTTTTTTTTACAATCTACCTTCTAGCAACAGAACTGGAGACATAGCTAAATGTTTTTACATCTAAATTGTTGAACATAGAACATGATTAAAATAATTTCTCAATTCTGTCATGGGACTTGAACTTGGGGCCTGGGTGCTGTCCTGAAGCCTTTTGCTCAAGGCTAGCCCTCTACTACTTTGAGCCACAGCATCACTTCGAGGTTTTTGGTGGTTAATTGGAGATAAGAGTCTCACAGAAACTTTTCTGCCTGTGCTGGATTTGACCCTAGGTCCTCAGATCTCACCTTCTGGGTAGCTAGGATTACAGGTGTGAGCTACCATTGCCTGGCATCAGGGTTTTTTGTTTTGTTTTGCTTTTTTTTAAAGCATAAAACTTTTCTTTTTTCTTTTTTCACAAAAAGCCAGAGAACTACACTTGCTGGAGATATTCTACCACCCCAACCTTCTCGCTCTGCCCACCACATTGGCTTTCTTTCTTCAACAGTTCTAGGTCATTCACTGTCCTGGGCCTTTGCACTTCCATTGTGTTTTCTTGGAAGCCTCTTCCCTTCGAGCTTCATGAAAAGGGTTTCTTGTCATTCACAGAGGCCGCAGTGACTATGGGACACTTGTAATCACGATGTTCTTACCTTCGTGGCATTTATTATCATCCAAAGTGATTTGGTTCCTCTACTTTCTGACTTAATAAACCATTGCTCATTTTCTGTAAACTTGTCCTAGTCCACTCTTTGAGGTCTACAGAATACATGATGAAATCTTGTTCATTAAACCCCGAACATTTTTGGCCATGTAGCAAGCAGTTAGAAATATGAAAAGTAAAGAAATGATGATGACCTGATTTGTCTGAGAATCATCTATGATTTCTTTTTCAAAACAAGTGCATCCGTACTGTCCTCTCATACATTTATTGGTCTGTCAAGGGGTATGATAGGCTCTGTGTGTGTGTGCATACATGCATACATGTACAGGTGTGTGTGTGTGTGTGTGTGGTGTAACTCACCTTATCTGCTCGGCTCCAAATGGCTTTGGGCGGTGGTTCTCCAGTGACAGGAATCTCAAGGCGGAGCTTGTTTCCTGCAATCACTGTCACAGTATTATCAGCATCAAGGCCATCTAGAATGATCTTAGGAGGATCTAGAATGTGAAGCACAGCTTTCGTTATCAGGCAGTCATTTCTATGCAAGTATCTTGCCTAGTGATTGCCTCTGGTTACAAGAATATAAGAAGAGGCAAGATCAAGTTGCCTGGAACTTTAAAAAAATATTTCCTTGTGAGTCGCTAACATCTGTAATCCTAGCTACTCAGGTGATTAAGATCTGAGGATCCCAGTTCAAAGCCAGCCCAAGCAGGAAAATCCATGAGACTTTTATCTCCAATTGACTACCAAAAAAGCTGGAAATAGAGCTGTGGCTTAAGTGGTAGGGCAAAAGCTTAGGAACAGCTCCCAGGCTCTAAGTTCAAGGCTTAGGACCAGCACACACACACACACACACACACACACACACACATTCATTGTAAAACTCAAGATTAAGATTACTACTTATGAGTAGTGATTAATATCAATTGACATATTTATTTATTTTTTTATTTCCTTTTTTTCTTTTTAAACACTTTTTTTTTTGTCATTCATGGGGTTGAACTCTGGGCCTGGGTGCTGTCCCTCAGCAATTCAGCTCAAGGTGAGCACTCTACCACTTGAGCCACAGAGCCACTTCTGGTTTTCTGGTGGTTAATTGGAGCTAAGCCTCATGGATTTTTCTTCTTGGGCTGCCTTTGAACCGTGATCCTCAGATCTCAGTCTCCTGAGTCGCTAGGATTACAGACATGAGCCACTGACACCTGGCTGACACATTTTTTTTCTTTAAGTATTGCATAGTTTTTTTTTGTGATGGTCCTGGGGCTTGAACTCAGGCCAGAGTGTTTTCCTTGAGCTTTTTCATTCAAGACTAGCACCTTACCACTCAAGCCACAGCTCTGCTTATGGATTTTTTTTCCTTTCCTTTTCTTTTTGAACCTTGATCCTCAGATCTCACTCAGACTCCTGAGTAGCTAGGATTGCAGGTGTGAGCCACTAGCACCTGGCTGAGTATTACATAGTTTTGAATGCATACTAATTTCATCAAAAGCAATAACAAACAAGATAGCTTTACAATCATTTGAGTTTTCTACTCACCGATGACATGAACTTTGGCAGATAAAGGAACATTGTAGGCATCTGGTGTAAAAACATATTCACCTTCATCTTCAATGAGCGCATTGGCTATCACTAACTTATGGATTCTAAAGAAACAAGAAGAGCATGCTTCTGAGACTCTGCAGAGCTTTATTTATTACACAAATTAAAGAGGTACTTCTTAATCTGATTAACTTGTTTTATGTAAGTATACACATGCATGCATGTGGATGTGTGTGTGTGTGTGAGAGAGAGAGAGAAAGAGAAAGAGAGAGAGAGAGAGAGAGAGAATGTGAAACCTTAGTTAACCATTTTATTGACCCATATTCCATTTCTCTAATTTGGAGTTCATGGAAGTATTTCTACAAACACAACCTGTTTATTATATATACAAGTCTGTTATTCTTTTTTTCATCTTATTTCATAACTTTACAAAGTCTAATATGACATGTGTGAAATCTAGCTGGGTTCAATCCATATCTCTCTCACTCACACTCATACACACAGAGAAACGTGTGGAGATATTATGAGATTGTGAAAGTACTTTGTATGCACACATAATTTTCTCAGTTTCAAGCTATTTTGGAGGTTTCCAGAATTCCATTTCATGACCTTGTAAGAGTTCATGGTCCAAGAATAAAATCTTGCCTACTTTTTTGGAAAGCCATGTGGAGGTTATTAGTGTTGAAAATATTATGATGATTTTGGTTTAAAGATCTTGATTGGCCTTTATTTTCAATCTTCGAATTGGAAAATAACATTCTATAAAACAGAATGAGTTTGGCTCATGCCTGTAACTCAGGAGGTTGAGATCTGAGTACCAAAACCAGCTCAGGCAGGAAAGTCTATGAGACTCTTATCTCTAATTAATCACCAAAAAGTCAGAAGTAGTGCTGTGGTTCAAGTGATAAAGTGTAAAAGCTCAGGAACCATGCCCAGGACCTGAGTTCAAGTCACAGAACCGGCACCAAAAAAAAAAAAAAAAAAGAAGAAGAAGAAAGAAAGAATGGGTTCTGATAGCTGAGCAGATGAAGCTGACTTTATAGACATATAGCTGAGGAAAGCAGGGACAGAGAACAAAAATATTTCAAATTTCCTTCCCTAGTATAGGTTAAAGCAGAGGATACTTCCTTATGCTAACTGGAAATAGCATACTAACTAATAGTTGGCTACTGTTTCTTTCTTCTGATTTCAGCTTTTCTGTCTGAAAAACATTTTATGTTTGGTATGGTGATATAGAACTTCAGCATGGATAATTTCTTGTTGGTTCGGTCTGTTGGACCTAGTACAGAAGCTCGGCTCAAACCAAAGTTTCCCTATAAATCCGTTTCATTCTTTTATTTTATTTTTGTGCAAATATTGAGGCTTGAACTCAGGGCCTAGATGTTGTTGCTCAGTATTATTGCTCAAGACTAGCACTCTGTCACCTGAGCCACAGCTCCATTTCTGGCTTTTGCTGGTTAACTGGAGATAAGAGTTTCACGGACTTTGCGACTCAGGCTTGCGTTGAACCTCAGTCCTCAGATCTTAGCTTCCTGAGTGGCTATAACAAACCTCCAGTGCCCAGCTCCCTATAAATCTTATTTAATCTTGGTTATGGACAGTTGATATATTTGGCCAAGTTGTGAACTATAATTCGGGATCAGGTTTCTTTTTGAAACATGAAGTTTTATGTTGAGATGGGAAAAATAGTCTTTGATCAGACAATACCACCATACTGTGAGGGGCAGATATGATGGGTTTTGTAGCATTATATGTCTTTTTTTTTTCTAGGCCTGAGAACCGAACCCAGGGCCTTGTACGCGCCAGGCGGGCGCCCTTCCGCTGGGCTAAACCCCCAGCCCCATATGATGGGTTTTGATTAGGACCATGTGTACCACACAGAAATCAAATCTGTAACTGTGGGAAGCAAAGACCTTGAAACAAGTCATTTCCCTATGGGCTCTGTCCAAACAAAGATGACAAAACCTGTCCTTTTAAGTGGAGATGCACATCAACTTTTTCCTCTAGCTCACTTACCTTCCTTTGTGGACCACCTTTAAACGGTCACCTTCCTGCACGGGGAGGCCATTTTTAGTCCATTTTCCGGGTACATTTTCAGAGATTTCACACTTTAAGCATATTTCTTTTCCCAGTTTTACAGTCTGATCGGTCAGCGGTGTTGTAATCTTTAGAGGTCTCACTGTGGGGATAAAAGAGCACCTTGTGGGAGCAAATCCAAGCTTTAGATGGGCCAACACGATAGCCTGTCACAAGTTGCCATCAGTTCTGCCATGACACTTGTTTTGAAGATGAAAATTTGATCTGGTACAATGGATATAAGAGGAAGGATGAAGGCTATGCCAATTTTACAGATGTTTACACCTGATTGTATTCCTGAGTAGAGCTGGGTAACGGGAACACGCTGCACCCAGATGAACTGAGTCAGACAAGAATGTAGAAAAGGCACACATGCCCAACCCAAAGGTCCACTGTGACCTCAGTTTACCCATGAGATATAAGCCGCTCCCACTCACCTGTGAGCTTACAACTCAGTGTTTGATTTCCTCCTACTGCCCCTGTTCATTAGCTACTCATTTCTGGCACCATTTGTTATAATATTCATTAACCATTTAAAGTGGATAAAATGGTTCCACGGTTTTTTAATTTTATTTTTATTTTTTATTTTTTTGGGTCTGGTCATAGGGCCTGAACTCTGGGCCTGAGCACTGTCCTTCAGCTCTTCAGCTCAAGGCTAGCACTCTACCACTTGAGCCACAGTGCCACTTCCAGCTTTTTTGTTTTTGCTTATGTGGTGCTGAGGAATCGAACCCAGGGCCTCAGGTATGCAAGGCAAGCGTTCTACCACTGAGCCAACTTCCCAGCCCAACCACTGTTTTTTTTAAATCATGGTCTTTGTTTTATTTAATTTTTTATCTTTAAATGGATGCCACTTGATTAAGCAGTTTATAAATCAGTACATCTTGATCAGTGTCACCCCTTTCAATATTTTCACCTCCCCCCTCTCACTCACCTCTTCCTTTACTTAATTTTGTAGCATACACAACAAACTCTTGACTGCATTCTCTTCTGCCTTCTTTTTGTTTATCTACCCTTTTTCCCTTGACCCTACCCTTATACTTGTTTTTAATGTGTCATTGACCAAGCTCTTTGAGTGTAATGCCCACAATCCCATTTCTTCTACAAGCACCATGGCTTTGATTGTAGGACTTTGTATAGCTTAGTGATTATTGTTGTTCTAAGTGAAGTAAGCCAGACTCAAAGGCTCCATGGTTTCCCTCATTTGTAATAATTAGTATATGTTCAGGATAGTCGTAGAAGAGGATCACAATAGCTTAATAGCTATGTACATATGACCATATAAGATGATACTAAGCAAAATGAACTCCAAGATAAGGAAACAAGAGGATTTTCTTTGTTGTTGTTTTTAAAGTTATTTCTTTTTTCTTGCATTTTTTTCTTTTTCCCTATCGCTTGTCCTTGCTGTCTCTGCTTGATTTTGGTACCCTGTGTATTGTATATGTGTTTATCTGAATTAAGAAAGGGAAAGGGAACAACAAAATGGTAAGGGAAAGAGAACAACAAAATGGTAAGACAAAGGACAAAGGGCAAACCAATGCAACAGCGATACTCACAAGACAACTATTGAAAATGAACTTTTCAACTTAAAGGGATTTGGGGGGAGGGAAAGTGGGTGAAAAACGAGGAGGGGCGGTTAACAATGTTTGACAAAAAATGTATTCACTACCTTACGTATATATGTATATCACCTTGACAATAGAATTAAATTTAAAAAAATTAAGTGAAATCAGAAACAGAGATTAAAAAAAAGAAAGAAAGAAAAATGCATATGTTGGAAGTGGCACTGTGACTCAAAGTGGTAGAGTACCAGCTTTGAACAAAAGAACTCAGAGACAGCACCCAGGCCCTAAGTTCAAGCACCATGACTGACACACAAACAAACAAACTGACAGACAAACAAAGAAATGCCTATGTTGCAAGCTAGCAGAATGGACTGCAATTGCTTTAAATGAATAGAACTATCAGGTAAGAATCTGCCTATGGGGGGAAAACTTTTGTTATGAAATAGTAAAGGTGCCACAATTCCTTGAAATATAAGTGGTCTATCTAGATTGTTTCTGAATAAAACAATGCTCAGATGTACTACAACTACATCAACAAAGAAGTAAGGAACAAGATTTCTGCATGCATACTAATTTCTGCATGTATACCAATCATCCTGCTATTTTATTACTTAATTCACATGGCAAACTTGAACACAATCTGTCATTGAGACCTATTAGAGAGTCTTAGGACAAGTACATTAATTCTGTCATGCCTCTGAAGCATATTAGCAAATAAGCTCTTATTTATCAACTGAGTAATAATGTTCTTCTCAGCTCAACTATAATTTCATGTTACACTGAATGTCAGATATTTAATGAATAGATAGCAAGCTAGCCTATGAATTAAGCAAACATTATGAGGATTTGTTATCGTATCTAAATATCTACCATCTATTTTTATGGTCTTGGAATCATAACTTCATGAGTAACTTGTTGGTAGGTGATTTTCATACTTTCCTTCCAACATTGGTGCTCTACTTTTTAATTGTGTACTAGGTTCCATTCTCAGAGACTCCAACTGACCTATATAGACATTCAACTATGATGGCATACAATTTTTTACATTTGTGCATGTCTGTGTGTACATGTGCTCATGTTGGGGCATGAACTCAGGGCCTCAGACACTCAGTTTTTCTCAGGGGTAGCACTTTACCACTTGAGCATATTCTACCTCCATTTCCAGATTTTTGCTGGTAATTGGAGATAAGAGTCTCTCAGATTTGTCTGCCTAGGCTGGCTTTGAATCTCAACCTTCAGATCTAACTTCCTGAGTAGCTACCATGACAGGTGTGAGCCACTGGCACTTGGCCCACTTTACATATTTAAAATGCTACCAGTAGAAACCAAAAGGCATAAAACTTTTGTAGAACAGGGTTAAGAAGCACACCATCACTGGTAAGTCAAGGCACAAGACATCCAAGGAGATGTTACTTACAGTCGACACTAAGTTTAGCAGAGGATTGTCCGCCTGTAGTCATCACAGAGTATTCTGCACTGTCGGCCTTTGTTGCTCCTTCTATGATCAAAATATGTTTTTTGCCCTCAACTTTAATTTTGTATCTTGATTTTGGACCAGGGAAGATCTCTTCACCATTCTTAAACCTGTGTTGACATAAATTTTCAATCAAACAGTTCTTTAAAAGAACCTCCAGGAAACAAACATGGCTGGTCATCTGCATTGCTTTATCCTAGAGTCTTGAAGTGTTTCTGGCAGATCTTAGACACACATGAAGAATTCAGTGGATTAAAGACTCAACCTGTCTATCCAGAAATCTGTCTTATAACAAGTATTGTACAAAACTATGCTAAAAGAACATGAGTCAGCTCTTTGTATTCAGTACTAAAGAGAGGCAGAATCTTAAGAATGGATATTACCCCTTTTGAGGCTTTTGACACATTTTAAAAGTTAGCTATGATTTTTAGATGAGCATAAATAAACTCTTATGTACCAATTCCTAGAGAATATTTCTTTCAAGATTGAGAATCTTTTAATTTTTAATTTTGACTACTCACAAGGAACATGTAAAAAAGAGCTTTCTGCCTACCCAAGGAAATATATAGGGGCTAGGAATGTGGCTCAGTGGTAGAGTGCTTGCCTAGCATGCATGAAGCCCTGAGTTCAATCCTTCAGTACCACATAAACAGAAAAAGTGGTGCTGTGGCTCAAGTCGTAGAGTACTACCCTTGAGCAAAAGAAGCTCAGGGACAGCGCCCAGGCCCTGAATTCAAGCCCCAGGACTAGCAAATACATACATACATGCATATATATATGTATATATATATATATACATATATATATGCATGTATGTATATACATATATATATACATATATATATATATATATGCATGTATGTATACATGTATTGTGCCAATCCTGGGGTCTGAACTGAGGACCTGGAAGCTTTTCCTGAGCTCTTTTGCTCAAAGTTAGTACTTGAAGCACATCTCTACTTTTGGCTTTTTGGTGATTAATTGGACATAAGAATCTCATGGACTTTCCTACCTGGGCTGGCTTTGAATCACGATCCTCAGATCTCAATCTCCTGAGTAGCTAGGATTACATATATAAACTTGTGATACCTGGCAAGAAGTAGCTTTTACTTATGTTTACTTATTCACTTTTGTGGTATTGAGGACTGAACCTGGGAGCACCAGGTAGGCTCTCTATGACTGAACTAGTTATTGTTAATTTTTAAAAGCAATTGGCAATTTTTGGTCTAAAAATATTTTTTCTGCATTACAAAAGCAATAAAATGATGAGGACTTACATGAAAGATTTAAATATGCTTTCCTTGTAAATTGTAGGTAAAGCATGGTGAGAAGACTAGTATAGAGATTAAGAGATACAGACACTCCACTGCCTCTGAAATGAAACAGACCTGGATAACTGAGTGAAGCTTTTATTAGTAAGTGCCTACCTTCCTATGTCCTCACACATACAGATATTTGAATTGTTCTTCACTGGCATAATGGAAAAGAACTCCAAGATTATAGTCTGCTTTTAGATATCATCTCTATGAACACAAAGGAGATTATTTCCACGTTGATGATCCATTTATATTTCCTGTTCTACTACCTAGGGAACCTTTTTTTTTAGTTTATTCATCACAGACAGGCATCAAGGAAGCTATTTACCATTTTACGTTGGCGTCATCTTCAGATACCTCACATTCCAGCTCCACTCTTTCCCCACAGAAAGCGTTCAAGTCTTCTAGCTGTTTGGTCACCATAATTGGAGGTTCTAATGTGAAGACAGGAGGGAAATCAAAGCCAAGAAGTATCCAAAGCTTGTCTCGGGAGTCCTAATTTGTTCACAGATGAAAATTCAGCAGCAGGATAGTCTTACCTATGGCTCATGTGATGGGTAATAAGAGGGTTTTTTGGTATATTTTTTCTATATCTTTTACTGGCAACAAATAATATAACTGGTAAGTTTTTTTAATTTCCTTAGAACTTAAATCAAATATATTATCATTTTGGAGAGCATATAAAATGTGCAACAAATATCTTTCCTTCAGCAAAGAGGATATCAGGTGGTAGATACTTCTGGTGGAGGATGTATAAATACTATTTGTTTTGTTCTAGATGAAAGGTAGAGATTAAAGTTCAACTGTAATTAGAGGACTTTGTAAAGAAAATAAATGATACCTGGTTTCATTTGAACCCTCCACCTCTACACTCTCTTAGTAAATGATGATCTACTGAAGTTAACCACTGGCACACTCCTCATGCTACTTGTAATCAGCTAAGTGAACTTGGATCATCCAATAAAGTTAATATTACTAATTTAAAGTTAGCTATCTAGTTATTGCTTGAGAAGTTACAACTAGAATAATTATCTTGTAGAATATGCTTGGCTTGAAGCAAACTACATGGCAGTTTTATCCACCAGTTATTTTTTCTCCCCTCAGGCTTTTCTATTCTTCAACAAGCCTGAATAATTAGGACACATGATCCCTGCCAACACAGAGGAGACTCCATGGCCAGCCAATCTACCAGCCAAACCAGACTCTTTCCACTGTCTCTGCTTTGGGCTAAGAGGGTCACCTTGTCTTTCAGTCAGACCATTGCTCTGGAGAGAAGGAAGACCACTGTCTCCTGATGGCTGCAAGAAAGAGATTTCATTTTACCTCGTACAAAGAGTTCTGTAGAACATTTCTCATCACCAGCTGTCACATAGTATTCTGAGTCATCTGTCAGAGCACAGTTATTGATGAACATGATTCTTTCATTTCCTTTATGTTCAAAGATGTATCTAATTCAAATAAGAGGGACATAATCAAAGTCTGTGACCTGGATTTTGTTCTTTTCTTTATCGCCAGCAAATTTGTCTTATAATTTCATAATAATTGAGAGCAAAGGATACAACTTTCATTTTATAATCATGTTTCATGCGTTATATAGTTAACATCAAACAACAAACCAATTTTCACCTTTATGATACATAGCACATAAACACATTTATATAAGCTCTTATGTTTCTCTAATAATTTTCTTCTGTAGATGGCTTTCACTACAAATATAAAATCAAGTCTCACATATTTGATGTTTAATGATAGCAACCTGATGTTGGAAAATAGAGTTGGTTGAGACTGTCATGGATATTTTTAACTCTGGACATTCTTTAAATGATCAATTCACTTTTAGGGGTCTCTACCCCCTTGATTATATTTGCTGATGCATATCTCATTCATTGCCTAGCCTGAGGGACACAGTAGGTTTTGTTGGGTGAATATAAATATTGCTCCATTGGAGCAAAAATATGATCTTCATTTTTAACTGTAGGACCTAATCTCATAGCATAGCATGTGGTGGTCTCAGAACTGGCATAAGCACATCACAGATACTGTCCATTAAGAAAGCTTTTGGGTATTTAGAAAAAGTAAAGTAGAATCCAAAGACAGCAAACTTTAATTGTTTGTGACTTGGACTATGAGGAGAATAATAATAGACTATGGGGAAAAAGTGGGTTTCACAATTTCTCAGTTTGAAGGCTTCAAGAACAAAATACTTGAACATGTTTCACTTAATCTAGCAAATTAAAAATTACATTTTCTACAGGCACTCTCAATGTGGAAATGTCATTACAAATTCCTTTCCCCCTTATGCAAATAAAAAGTCACAATAACTAAATAAGATTTTAAAAATTATGTTTTGATAAATCCAGGTCATCATTAATAGACTTTTGGTATGAAGGTACTAACATTATTAACACAAAGTCATTTCTGTTGGCATGATTGCACTAAGAAACTGGAAACCACCTAATTATACTCCAGAAGTGACAGATTTCCAGGATTAAAGTCTCTTATCAATGTACACGTGGCTCTTGTTAACTTAAAACAATATATTAAAGTTGAAAATCTCTTGGGCTGAGGAGGATCTCTGTAAAGTAGTTTCATAATAGACTAGTGATGCTATCAGACATTGGGATTAGTATTTTCTCCTTCTTTTGGGAGAGAACCAAGTAATAATAGAACACAGGCTTAGATCCGCATTTGATTACATCTCAATGTTAAACAGTTCTACTCAGGTACATGGCTTTAAATACTCAACAGTACCTGACTTGCAAATAGAAGATATTCAGCCCTTATCAAATATAGATGCTATTTTGGAAATAGTAGAAATCATCTAATTATCAGGTGTAATTCTTAGTTGGTATATCAAGTATGTATCTCCAAAGAATTTTTAAATTTTATTTTTAAAAATTGGGAGAAGTCCAGGAAATGAAAATATGGTGGTGGTATTTGTTTTTGCTTTGTTTTTTGTTTGTTTTTGTTTTTTTTTGTTTTTGTAGGTCATGAGGCTTGAACTCTGGGTTTGGGCACTGACCCTGTGCTCTTCAGCTCCAGGTGAGCTCTCTACCGCTTGGCCCACAGCGCCACCTCTTGTTTTCTGGTGGTTAATTGGAGATTAAAAAGTCTCATGGACTTTCCTGCCTGGGCTGGCTTTGAACCGTGATTCTCAGATCTCAGCCTCTTGAATAGCTAGGATTACAGGCGTGAGCCACTGGCACCTGACTGTTTTTTTTTTTGTTTTGTTTGGCTTTTTGGGGTGGGGGGAGGTGGCTAGCAAACGGGTTTGCAGAAATGAGGAGAGGAAGGGTGAACAAATGCAGTCATGGCATTCAGTAAACACTATGTGGAAAATGAACTTGTGGGCAGGGATGGGAGGAGGAAACTGGGAGAAAGCAAAGGAAGCAATGACATTGTCCAAAAAGAACTGTACTCATTTTCTGATTTATGGAATGGTAACCCCTCTGTACAGCTCCTTAACTATAGCAATGAAATTATATTTGTTTAAAACATTGGGAGAAGGAGCTGGTAGTGTGGCTAGTGGCAGAGCGCTTGCTGCCTAGCTTGATTCCTCAGCCGCATAAACAGAAAAGGCCACAAGTGGGAGGGTGGCCCAAATGGTAGAGTGCTAGCCTTGAGCAAAAGAAGCTCAGGGACAGTACCCAGGTGCTGAGTTTAAGCTCCAGATCTGGCAAAAAAAAAAAAGGAGAAGTTTCACAATGTTCCAAAGGAATTATAGCTAACCTGTATTAACACAGAACAATAATTAAGAATCACTTGAAACACTCTAGCATAACCGGTAGTTTCTTTTTTTTTTTTGGATCCAGTCATGGGGCCTGAACTCTGGGCCTGGGCACTGTCCTCAGCTCTTCAGGTCAAGGCTAGTGCTCTACCACTTGAGCCACAGTGCCACTTCCAGCTTTTTTCTTTTTGCTTATGTGGTGCTGAGGAATCGAACCCAGGGCCTCAGGC